TCACTGTGTCTCTCCACTTCATTTCAAAACTAAGAAGTTCATATTTATTATGAAATGTGGAAAAGTTGAATCTGGGAGCATCATATGTCTAGGTTCCCAAAATCTAAACTTTCCAAGAAAGAAAAATGAGATTTTAGAAAGAGGGTATTTAGTGGATGAATCACTCAATGTCTCTATTGCATAGTTAAGGGCCAAACTTATAGTCGCTCCTTGAGGTTTTCTCAGACCTTAAGGAAGCCTTGAACGTTTAGAATTGACATAACTAACCTGTCAAATAGTAGCAAGTGTCCATTCTAAACTCGCAACTCCAAGAAAGATTCAAGAAACGACTATAAATTCAGCCCTAAATTCACAATTTCATTATCTTTGGCGCTTTCTTCATGACATTTTCATAACTAAAGCTCGTATTACACCTGTATATTTTTCCGTGTAATTCTTCATGTAGTTCAAGGTGCCAAGATAATTTTGTTTTTCATAATGCTGATTTATGTCGCGTTTAAAGTTTTTCGGTTGTCACCCTGAACTACATGAAGAAATACACAGATGTAATATAAGCTTGATAAGTTTTTAGGAAAATAGATGGCATTTTCAGAGATCCCAACTTTCCACCAACTTTGTGATACAGCTACAAGATTACTGAGCTTCTGAGCGAAATTGAAAGTTGATGATTGGTTGGTTGGTTGATATTTGGTAGAAGTATCACTCAGTCTCTCTATTGCATTTGAAAAATCACAACTTCATTATTCTTGGCTCTTTCTCAATGAAGGTTTGTTATATTAGAGCTGAAGCTCTTCTAGCTGATAGCAAAATATAGGTACCTCTTCCAGGTATTCCAACTTTTAAGATCCCGAATATTGGGTCATTACTTTACAAAATTTATTATTCTACTAAGAAGAAGTAATTGGGGTACTAATAACCTGGATTGTTCAATTGCGAATGTTCTGTTTTTCTTTGAGAAGATTCTACGGAATTCTCAATTCTGCAGAACTTGGAAAATGTTCATTAATTTTTTAAAAACTTAAGATAAATCCCAAAGTCCTTGTTACACAAATTTCTTGATTCTTCTCCATAAAACTATCAAAATCCTTGAATATTGAATCATTCATTTACAAATTGTCTGGTACATAATTTATTGAGATGGCTCTAAGGATGCTGAAGACCTCTCAGATTCTAATCGTGTTTTTTGAATTATTGTGTTTTTCTTTGAAAATCGGTTCCAAGGATCTTCACATATTGCAAAGAATTTTCTTCAAGAAGGCTTCCAAGATCCTGAACATTGTAAACTTTGAAAAATTATTGGTGTTTTCTTGACAAAACTCTATAAGTTCCTGAACTCATCTTTCTTATAATTATTTTCAAGATCCTGAATCAAGAGTCATTACCACTAATTTGCAAAATTTCTGGCTCTTCTAAGAAAATATTATTAGATACTCAAGATCCCGAATCGATTAAATTGAAAGTTGGTTGGTTGGTTAGCTGATTAGTTGGTATTTGATGGAAGTATCACTCAGTGTCTCTATCGCATTTGAATAGATAGCAAATAGATACTTAAATACAAATTTAAGGTAGTGGAATTATCCTTTGTCTCTCCCACTTCATTTCAAAACTGATAACTTCATAATCATTGGCTCTCCTTTTATAAAATATGGGGTAGGTTAAAGCTGAAAGCTTAAGAGGTTCAAAAAAACGAATAAATGCTCTAAATCCGAATTTTTTAGAAAAAAATTGAGATTTCAGGAAGACGGTATTTGGTGGTCTCAATGTGTCTCTAATGCATTTTTTATCAATTCACAACTTCATCATTATGTATCTTTGACGCTTTCTTGATGAAATTTTTATATAAGAGCTATAAGCTTGATGAGTTTTTAGAAAAATAGATATCTTTTAGAGCTCCCAATGTTTCAGGTGAAGGAAGTATCATTGTAAGTAATTCATTTCGAAACTCACAACTTCATTATGCTTAGCTCTTTCCCAATGAAGTTTTGGATGTTAGAGCTAGAAGCTTTTCGAGCTAATAGCAAAATAATTACCAACTTCCCAGAAAAAAAATAGAAATATAAGGTAGGGTTATATCTTGAATTATCATTTGTCTCTCCATTTCATTTCAAAACTCAATCATCATATGTCTTGAAAAAGTAACTTCCTAAAATCTAAACTTTCCAGAAAAGAAATATGAGATTTTAGAAAGAGGGTATTTAGTGGCTGAATCACTCAATGTCTCTATTGCATAATTAAATTCACAATTTCATTATCTATGGGCGCTTTCTCTAGGAAATTTTTATAACTAAGAGCTATAAGCTTGATGAGTTTTCAGAAAAAAAGATAGCTCTTTCAGAGATCCCAACTTTCCAGGAAAAAAACATAAATTTTAGGTAGAGTATCATTATAATGCATTTCAAAACTCACAACATTATGATTTTTGGCTCTTTTTGTAAAATTTTGATGTGATAGAGCTACAGGATTACTGAGCTTCTGAGCGAAATTGAAGGTCTGCGGTTGGTTGGTTGGTTGATATTTGGTGGGGGTATCACTCAGTCTCTCTATTACATTTGAAAAATCATAACTTCATTATTCTTGTCTCTTATCCAATGAAGGTGTGGTATGTTAGATCTAGAAGCTCTTCGAGCTGATAGCAAAATAGGTACGTAACCAATTTTTAAGATCACGAACATAGGGTCATTACTTTCCAAAATTTCTTGTTCTTCTAAGAAGAAGTAATTAGAGCCTTGAGATCCTGGATTGAAGGATTGTTCAATTTTTTTTTGAGAAGACTCTACGGAATTCTCAATTCCTGCAGAACTTGAAATATGTTTGATATTTTCTAAAAACTTTAAGTCCTTGCTTTACAAATTTCTTGATTCTTCTCCATAAAACTCTCAAAATCCTGAATCTCGAGTCATTCATCTGCAAATTGTTTGGTACATAATTCAATGAGACGGCTCAAAGGATTCTGAAGACCTTTCAGATGTGTTCTTATTTGAAAGTCGATTCTAAGGGTCTTCACATATTGAATTATTCTCTGCAAAGGATTTTCTTTAAGAAGACTTTTAAGATCCTGAACATTGTAAACTTTGAAAATTCATTGGTGAATTCTTGACAAAGCTCTGGAAGATCCTGAACTCATCTTTTCTTTAATTAATATAAGGTCCCGAAGCAAGAAATATTACCATTAATTTGCAAAATTCCTGAGTAAAGGTGCAACACCGGTTCTAGCACAAAATCAGTCATTTTCCCATGTAAATCTCCATAAGAAAATCTAAGGTCCATTCTGGCAATTTTCGTACCAGTTTGGACTGGGGGTAAAATTTCCAGGAATAAGCCCCGCCCTCTTTCCAGTGCCCGTGTTTTTCATCAATAGCTGGTTAGTCGCCACTGCTTCAGGGTCATTGACCGTTGGCAGGCTCATCGAACCCACATAGCACCTCGTGACTTGGTTCTCCATTCAAGGTACCTCGTACTGTTGATGACGTAACTAATAATAAAATCCGCCTCGTGCTTTGTCTAGTTGCAGATTCAAGTTGCACGAGGCGGGAGCCAACTTTTAGGTTATAAGTTTACAGTACTGTATGCAGACCTGTCTCTAGACCTGTATAGCTGTACACAGACCTGTCTCTAGACCTGTATGGCTGTATACAGACCTGTCTCTAAACCTGGATAGCTGTATACAGTCCTGTGTCTAGACCTGTATAGCTGTATACAGACCTTTCTAGAGACAGGTCTGTATACAAGTCACGACGTGCCATGTGGGTTCGATGATCCGCTTGGGGCCAGGTGGGGTCAATGACCCTAAAGCAGCGGCGACTAACCAGCTATTGATGAAAGACACGGGCACTGAAAAGGGAGCGGAGCTTATTCCTGGAAATTTTACCCTCGCTCCAAAATGGTATAAAAATTGCCAGAATGGGCCTAAGATTTTCTTATGGAGATTTGCATGGGAAAATGACTGATTTTGTGCTAGAACCGGTGTTGCACCTTTACTTTCCTAGTTCCTCTAAGAAAAGATTCTTAGAGTCTCAATATCCTGAATCGATTAAATTGGAGGTTGGTGGTTGGCTGGTTGGTTGGTTAGTTGGTTGGTAGAGTAATGCATTTCAAAACTCACAACTTTATGATTCTCGACTCTCTTTTTATGATGCGTTACAGCTACATGGAATTTTGAGCTTACAAATAGGTAGCTTCTTTAGAGATCTCAACTCCAGAATAAGAGTCGAAATTGAAGGTTGAGAATATTTGATGAAAGTATCACTCAGTCCCTTTATTGTATTAGAAAATTCACAACTTCATTATCTTTGACTCTCTTTTTATGAAATCTCAAAGCAGAGGTTCTCTGTACCCTTAAAAACAGTGATAGCTCTTTAACCACACTACAACTTGCTATAAAATTTAAATCTAGGGCCAAAAGCATCCACATGAGAAGGGTAACTTTTTTATAGACATTTATTTACAAAAATACCTATCTTTTAAAAGTATTCACCTTCTTATCATGCATATGATTGATATAAGCCCATAAAACAAAGACAGGAACAGTTAAATCTAGAGAACAAGGTGGCCATTGTCAAGAAAAAATATGTTGAATCAACACCTCCGTTACTCCTGTGAATGAAGAGGTCATGGAAAATGGAAAAAATATCATTAGAACATTGATGAAACATCGAGCAAATATAAGAAAACTATTAAAGCTCCAAAACGAAAAAAGCAACTTCAATTTCCCATTGTGGTATCAGAAATTGGACGTGACACAATACGGTTGCTTGCAAGTTGTCGACCGTTTTATCGGAAAATGGGACAAAGGTTTTTGGCAATTTAAGACGACGCCACCAGGCCTGGCCACAAACTTTAAAATTGTTCATTTTCGAGCGTTTTAATGAAACTTTACCAAAAGACAAACAGAAAGGAAACTTAATGTTCCATGTAGTGCATTGGGTCAATTAGATTTTATGGACAATTTTCAAGCTGAAATAAACTTTCTTGGTCCAACAAACAAATTAATTATTACTTACCGGCTTCGGCTAATTTATCTTTGTCGTAGTGATGCTGTTCGTAGTCGGGCATCGAGATTTTATAGACCGCGTATTTGAGATTCTGCAGTGCGGCTTGCGGCGGAATGACTTTGCCGGATTTGCGTTTGGCCAACATCGTCGCCTTGTTCAAATGGCTGAGATTGATTACGGACGGTTTCAGTTTACAAGCCTCGCCGTCGACCTGGAATTAACATATTAATACGTGTATATTAGATGATATAGTGCTGGATGATGACAGAAATATTACTATTAATTATGTTGCTTTGTACAGACCTGCATTGGGATGGTTTTCGTTGTCACAATTTTAGCAGATCTACATTGAGTGATGCTTGTTCCGTGGCCTCCGGCTTGAAGAAGAGGCTGTAATAAAATGAGAAATGTTAGAACATAAACTACCTCTAAAAAATCTCAAATACAATAAAATGATAAACCTATAATGGCTCTCACATGAAGCTCGATTACAAGAAGTTAAAAGGCTGATTTCTCTGCAGATGTACCTATATTTTTCATTTATGGAATAATGGAATATTCACCTGCAAGATATGACAGATTACTACGGGATGCTCTGTATATCTTCACATTGATCTAGATATTTGGAATTGGTAAAAGCATTTTTGTAGTCATTTTAATAAGAAAAGTACCTACGTCAGTTGCAAGATAATTTAATCTCAACTTATTAAATCTCCTAGCAATCCAGCATCTTATTCCGTATAAAAATAGTATAGATAAAAAATAACGAAATTTCTAAGCTCAACTCAAATTACATAACAATTTTTCGAGTTCGAGTCCCCAATTAATAGACTCTTGCGACAATCCGATTATAAAAAAAAGTCAATAAAAAATTATAAAATTAGGACGCGTTTAACCGGAAATCACTATACTCATGTGATTTAATTGCGTCATAACTGATAAACTACAACACCTGTGATTCCGCCGAATGTTGCATCATATCCTAAATAAAAACTTATTAAAAAAAAACAATTCTTGGAAAACAACAATGTCGTTTATCACTCGATAAACGAGGTCAAATAAGAGGATTGGTTCCAGAAATGCTAAATGAGCGCCCACGTAACTAAGATTTGATTAAGAGGGTGTATAACTGGATTGTTTCAATATATGAACATTGAAGTAAGAATTTGTTAATATAAAATTTTCCTTTATTTGTCGTGTGCCTAGGTTGTGCTGAATTCTTAGGCTGAATTCTCCTAATTGATAGTGCTGATTTAGTAAATTAAATATGTATGAAAACTATTATACAGTTGTTTCTCTCATTTGCAAATAGACCCCTTTCAGTCTTCACCACTTAATTTTGTAGTAACCCGAGGAAATAATTAACATCAAATAGAACCGCTCGTCATTTACCATCTAAATAATTAATAGAGTACTTGGGTGGATCACTACAAGAGTTTGGATACAAAAAATGTCTGTGGTTTGTCTGCAGATCTAGGATCTTAGAACTTTTAGATCCTGAGTTGTTCGCTTGCAAATATCTTGTTCATTTGCTGAATTTTGATTCTCAAGTCTTCTGGTTCTTCTTTAAAATTTCAAGGACCTCCATAATTTTAATAGTTTTTTTGCAAAGGTTTCTCTTCAAGAAGGCTTTTGAGATCTTGAATATTGCAAACTTTGAAAATTTGTTGGTGTTTTCTTGACAAAACTTTGGAAGATTCTTAATTCATCTTCTCTATAATTATTACCTAACAGGATTCTAACTCAAGACTCATTACAAAATTCCTGGTACTTCTAATAAAAAATTCTTGGAGTCCTGAATCTAGAAGCTTTGTATACTGCATTTTGGATCTTTACTTCACAAATTTTTTGATTCTTCTCCATAAAAACTCCTAAGGATCTCGAACATTGGGTCATTCTTTGCGAAATTTCTTGTTGTTCTAAGAGGAAGTTATTGGAGTCTTGAGATCCTGGATCGTTCTATTGGAAATGGCATGGTTTTGTTTGGGAAGTAAGTCAATTCTAATTCTGAGAAGATCTTCATATTAAATCATTCTTTGCAAAGATTTTTCTTCAAGATCCTGAATTCATCTTCTCTATAGTTATTATGAGGATCCTAAATCAAGAGCCATTACCATTAATTGAAAAAATTCCTGGTTTCTCTAAGGAAAGATTCATGGGTCCTTATTCTTGAAACAGTAGAGCAGCGTTCCCAGGAGAACGAGTTTTCTGTCTTTCTCAATGATATGAAAATGGTAATATAAGTAACACAGATGGAACACTCGTTCTCCTGGGAACGGCGCTCCCCTGTTTCAAGAATAAGGACCCTGGAGTCTTAAGATTCTGATTTGATAATATTTAAAATGTTCTGTTTTCTTCAAGAAGACGCCTTTTGAATTCTGCAAACCTTGCTGTTTCCATTAGAAAAAAATCTAGAAACTTTGGATCCTGAATTTTGAGTCCTTACTTCGCAAATCTCCTGATTTTTCTCCATAAAAACTCTTAAGATCTCGAACATTGGGCCATTCTTTTTAAAATTTCTTATTCTTCTAGGCGGAAGTTACGGAGTCTCTACGGAGTTCTCAAATCTGCAGAAAATATTTTGATGTTTTTTTAGATACTTCAAATACCCATCTTACTTTACAAATCTCTTGATTCTTCTCCATAAAACTCTCAAATCCTGGATCTTGCGTCATTCCTATGCAAGGATTCTCACATATTGAATCGTTCTTTGCGAAGGATTTTTTTCAACGGAAGCTTCTAAGATCCTGAATATTCAAATTTTGAAAACTTGTTGGTGTTTTTTTGACAGAAATCTGGAAGATCCTGAACCCATCTTCTTGATAATTACTATCAGGATCCCAAATCAAGAGTCTAAACCATTCATTTGCAAAATTTCTACTTCTTATAAGAAGAGATTCTTGGAGTCTCAAGATGCTTTATCGAATAAATTGTAAATGTTCAGTTATTCTTCAAGAAGCTTCCTTTTGAATTCTTCAAACCATGAAAATTTCTTAGGATTTCTATGAAAAAAAAAACTCTAAAAACTTCAGACTCTGGATTTTGAGTCCTTACTCCATAAGAACTCTTAAGATCTCGTACATTGGGTCATTACTTTTCAAAATTTCTTGTTCTTCGGAGAGGAAGGTATTGGAGTCTCAAGATCCTGGATCGTTCTAATGCAAATGTTCTATTTTTCTTTAAGAAGACTACGGAATTCTCAATTTTGCAGAAAAAAATTTGATGTATTTTCGGAAACTTCAAATCCCAAAGTCCTTCCTTGCTTTACAAATCTCTTGATTCTTCTCCATGAAGCTCCCAAAATCCTGAATCCTGAGTCATTCTCTTGCAAATTGACTGGTATTTAATTCAATGAGACCGTTCTAAGGATCCTAAAGACTTTTCAGATTCTAATATTTCTGAATATTGCAAACTTTGGGAATTACTCTATAGCTAATTACTATCAGGATCCTAAATCAAGAGTCATTATTATGAGGATTCTTCTATATTTGAAAAAAATAATAATTTGGTTATTTATTTGCACACGCATGAATTTATAGGATCATTATACCTACTAATGATATAAAAATGATAATTAAAAACACGCGGGTTCTCATATTGTTCGTATTCATTCTTATTTTTCAAAAAACTATGATGTAACGAGGATTTCAAGGTAATCCATGACGCCTTAAAGTTTTAATAATGGTATTTTGTAAATCCCGCATCAATCATCAAATTATATTCCTTTAAACCAGCAAAAAACAAAGTATATAATCCTTATCTCACTGTTTATTATAATATAAGAGGATTTCTTTGGCTTCAAGTACATTATATTTACCAAAATGTTTTCAAAACTAACTGTTTTATTTTGTGCTTTTGCTGCAATCCTAAGTAGTGTAAGTATTTTTGTTTTAATAATTATTTATAATTACTCTAAGTCTATTGTAGCCATTGCAAGTGACTCCCGAAGACTTAAACTTAGAGCTAAAAACTTTAGGTGACAACATTAAAGTGCGTGAAAGTCAAGTGCAATATGAAATAAAAATAGCCTTGAATCCGTTGAATTATTACATCCACGAAGCTGAATTGCAATACATTTCGGACCTTGTTCCTGCAGCTAAACCTTATTGGGATGTTATTGGGGCATATGAAACCAAAAATATTAGTAAGGAATTTTTTTGACACAAATAGTTTAATCCAACTGATTCTTTACAGGTACAGACATCGTAGATTGTATCAATCGAGGTAATAATCAACTCTATCAACTAAACAACACAATTGTTGACGAAGGCAGGTTAAAGCTGAACCAATTATCTCAACAAGGCCAAAATAAAGCTTTAGAATCTAGGTTAAAAACGTCAGCGATTTTGACTCAGCTTGAAGAACTTTCTGGAAAAATTGCGCATTGTTCCGATAATAGCTGTGCAGGGGATTTGCATGGGAAGCTTCTAGAGTTTTACGAATATTCCATACAATATTTGGACACTGCTGCTGATGTTATGGTTAATTTTGTCTACAGTTATTTGCCTGAAATTTTGCCCACATATGGATTGGATGTTAGTGATTATCAGAAAAGATACCAACCTTTTCTGGATGAGGTTCTCGACTGTGTAGCTAACAAATAGGATTTTGATTTGTATTAGAAGGTGAAATAGAATTCTTTGTGTTTCTATTTTGTAGTTTTTTTCTTCCTCTTCATCAATATGAGTCATTGAAAGTACCTATCTACAAATTATATGTGATTCCCACCGAGTCGTAGATTGTATGTTAAGTATCTGATATCAACTTGCATTTCTAAAGTGGTTAACTATAATTATTGGAAATTTGATAAAGGATATGTATTATTAAGCAAATGATAATTATTTTTATAATTTTGGAATAAAATAGCTGCATCGCAAATGAATATACAATATGGCATTATAAAATTTGAAATCCGACGTTTCGTCTTTGGACCACCTTTTCTTAATCTTGCCAGAAAAAAATTAGATTTTGTTTTTGGATTTTCATCAAAAGATGCCGGTGTAAACACAGTTATTTCGATTGAGTTGATACAGAGCGCCATTTATGACCAATCGAGTCAACTATAGAAATTGCTTTGGTTAGCTTTGGGAGCGTTCACATCAGAACATTAAAATAAGGTTGAATTTTCAATTTAGGTAACCAAAGGAGGGAAAATACTCAAGCTATCAAACTCAATTTAGCACGGATTCATAGATAATTAAATGCTCTCTGCAATGGTGTATACATTTTCCCTATTTGCACGAATTTCAATAAAAATATTGGCAATCTTAACCTTGTAAGAATTTTTAAAAAATCGGGATTTTCTTTTTTGATTTTTTTTTCTGTTTGAAATGATCATTCAAAGATGGGGAGAGAGAGATGATACGTACAAACTGGGGGAAACAAAACGCCGTTTGCAGTTCATTACATAAACACCAAACAACACATTCCGATTGGCACCACAGAAAAGGCAACTTTTGAAAGAAGAATTGGATAAGCTGTTAGAAGATAACATTATAGAAAATTTGGAAAGTCCGTAGGCTGCACCAGTTGTACTAGTCCCAAAGAAAAAAGGTGTTGTAAGACTGTGTGTTGACTACCAGAAACTGAATGCTATTACAGTAACTGATAGCTATCCACTGCTTGGATGAGCTATTACACGCTGCGAAACAGACTCTTTATATGACAAACATTGATTTCAGATCCGGTTTTTATGAGCCAGATCGCGATAAAACAGCTTTTTCAACAACGTTTGGTATTTTTTGTTATACGAGAATGCCATTCGGACTAAAAAATGCGTTGGCAACGTTTCAACGGCTCATAGATCGGTTTAAAGGGGGTGTGCGCCAAAAATTAAAGTTTTAGTGTGAAAAAATCTAAGAATAATTGTTCAAAGCTCGTTATTCTACGATAAACCATCGCTGAGATATACCGCTTCAAAGTGTGTATGACGTCACGACAGCTTCGTCCAGCCGCGCTCCGCATTGTTAATTTGATTGTTCCCGGCACACGTCAGTGGTTTTTGTTTAGATTATTGCAGATGACACAAAAAAAAACATAAATTCAATTTACTTCACTATCTCGTGAGTCGCTCGAGCTCTCGTGACGTCATAGGGTGAGATGCGGTACCTTCATAGAGCCATATTTTCGGTATAATTTATCATAGAGGGGTGCGGTTTCCACTGTTATCCTTAGAATTTTTTCCTCTTTTTTTTTAAGATGAAGTTGTTTTGCGTACCTCGATGATCTAATCGTGTTATCGAGTTCGCTTGAAGATCAGATCTTAAAGCAGTATTTGATAGACATGACATGATGAAAAATGCGGCCCTGATGTAATTCTGTATCTGATGTAATGTTGCTATGACAAAAGTGACAGAATCTCAGACAGAAGTGTAGTAACAATATGGAGGAAGTGAATACGCTTTTTTCTCCACACGTCGCCTGTCTATTATTCTACCTCAATGACTAGTCGCTAAGAAAACATGTGGTGTAAGACTGTGTGTCGACTACCAGAAACTGAATGCCATTACAGTAATTGATATTTGATTGAACAGACTCTTTATATGACAACCATTGATCTCAGATCCGGTTACCATCAAGTTAGTGCTTATGAGCCAGATCGCGATAAAACAGCTTTTACAACAACATTTGGTATTTTTCGTGATACGAGAATGCCATTTGGACTCAAAAATGCGCTGGCAACGTTTCAACGGCTCATAGATTTAAGAATGGACTTGAACAAAACACCGATGATAGGGAAATCGTAGTGTTTGCGCAACTCGATGATTTATCTAATCGTGTTATCGAGTTTGTTAATTAGAAGATCAGATCTTGAAGCAGTATTTAATAGACTTGACCAATTTAAACTACGTGAAAACCGCGAGAAGTGCATATTCGCGGGTGTTCAGGTGAAATATTTGGGACATCTGATCACACCTCAAGGTATTTCAATGAATCCAAAAAAAAAATATCAGCTATAGCGAAAAGACCTCCACCAAGAAATGAACATGAAGTGCAATGATTCTTACAAACTCCACGTTGGTTTCGACGCTTCATTGATGGATTTGCTGAAATGTCACGCCCCTTAAGTAACTTCACGAAAAAAAAAAAATGTTTTTTGGAGATGGACATCCGTTGAACAAGAGTCCTTTGACAATTTAAAGAAATTGCTCACCATGGCACCCATCCCTAAACAATGTGATTATACCAAGCCTTATAAAATAAGAACCGATTTAAGCGGTTATGCTCTTGGAGCTTGTTTACTTCAAGGTCAAAAAATGAACAACCTATCGAATATGCAAGTACATTATTGACTGCTACAGAAAGAAACTATTCTACTTCTGAAAGAGAAGCTTTAGCTGTAGTGTGGGCTGTGAACAAATTTCGTGGGTACACTTGTAACCATACAGAGAGATCATCAAGCTTTGAGATGGCTGTTGAATATAAAGTCTCCAACAGGTAAACTAGCCAGATGGGCATTACAGATTCAAGGTTATATTAAAATTGAATATCTACCAGGAAAGGGAAACGTCATAGATGATACGCTGTGTCTAGCCTCCCGGCACCGGTATTCATACGAATTCCGGTTACGACGCGTTTTCAATGACGTTATCAACGACCGCCGGGATTTATCGTGGATCCCGGCTATTGGATTCAAAATTCAAAGTCGTGTTTCTCTTGCTGCTTGAGGCTGTAAATAATTCCGGAATAGCTTTTGTGTATTATTGTTTCTTGTTGTGATATTGGTATAAGAGTGGTACGTAATAGTACTTCGTTAATCCACTTTTCGTAGTAGTAGTATAAAAAGGGAATAATAGTTATGGTTTATTTTCATTCATTATTCGGAACTATAGCTTTTCTAAAACCCTGTATCTCTAAAATAGGACTTTTTTTACCCTATATAATAATTCGGCCCCAATACCAATGAACATAATAATTATTAACATCTTGTATTGCAATAGCCGGGATCCACGACAGTTACCGGTAGTTGTTGATGACGTTATTGAAAACGCGTCATAACCGGGATTTATATGAATACCGGTGCCGGGAGGCTAGACACAGCGTAGATGATATGGTTTCAAGACCACCCTGTGAACATGATACTCTTGAAAATTGTGAGATTTGTACATTTTTAGTAGTGATAGCCCAAGAACATTGATAACTGTCCGAAAAAATTTTATAATAGTTTCGAAAGCTTGTTGAGTGAAAACAGACCGACGCGTTAGCGGAGGTCTGTTTTCTATAAGCAACAAGCTTGAGAAAGTTGTAAAATTTGTGAGTATTCACCAATGTTCGAGAGTTATTCGGATAGAAATGTTTTTGACAGCAATGTCCAAAACAATGTCAAAGAGTGAAACCAATCCTAGGGCTGTCAGTATAATGTTGACATGATTGGGTGATTTGTGTCACATGACAATAAATAACAAAATTGAACTAGCTGTTAGAACTGCAATGTCAAAAAAATTTCTTCTGGAATTTTTTCCGGGGTAAGAAGGCCTCAAACGAGAAAATGCCAGGAGGCATTTTCGCTTTATTTTGGTCCCCTCTACCCAGGAAAAAAATATATATTATGTAGAAAATTTTTTCAAACTTGATTTACCTTAATTCAGTTGATTTTCTGTGTTATTTTTCACTGGAAAATTTTGAAATTTTGCTAAAATGAGCTCATGATTTTTCTCTTTCTTTTCAGAAAATTTCATAATTTTCCTTTGGATAGTTTTCCAGAAAAAAAATAATTTACAAGAGGGTGAATTTGACATAAAAGGAAAAGTCCTACAAAATCGGAAAATTAAGAAAAAAAAGTTGGTTTTGGGATTCCCTCTACAAAATCGCTATCTTGAAATTTCGAAATTTTGAATTTGATTTTTGGCCCCATACCTTCAACACAGAGAAATCTTAAAATAATGAAAATCGAATCTTCAACCGGCCATAGATAGATAACCGTGAGTCGCAGAGAAAAATCGTTCATAGGAAAATTGTAGGTCTCGACGAGATCTACAAAAAAGCTTGGTGAGTTGTCCCTCTACGACTTACAGTTTCTGAAATAATCGACTTTGAAGTTTTAAAATCATTGGATCAAGGGTTTTGTTGGCCAAAATATCAAAGTCAAAATTTTCCAAATTTTCTTTGACTACGTCATAGAGGTGGTCCTAAGAAGTGTTGGAACCCAATTTGTTTTTCTTAATTTCCCGTTTTTCGAGGAATTTTCGCTCGGCCCTTTTTAAAATGTTTCCCATGTAAAAAATGGAAAATCGAAATTTCCGAATTTTAAAAAAACAAAAATTGTGCTTTAAAAAGGAGGCCACAATAAGCCGGAAAGCTTTTCGGCATTTTTCTGTAGGACATCTTCTAAGCCCGGAAAAATTAAAATAGAAAATCAACAGGGGAGACTTTTCCAGCCTGACACGGTTTGATTAAATGGGGCATAACTCTAAAATGCCTAGACTGATTCCAATGAATCATATTTCATTCGATAGAGGATTAACTTGGCTACAGAACCACTTTATCCAGAATTTCCAAACTCAAACCGTTTCCAAGTTATGGCAATTTTGGATTCAACTCTCGATTATTACCGGCTCTTGGTTGAATCAAAGTGAACCAAAAACTTAACAAATCATCAACCAAAAGTTGAATGAGGCGTTTTTGGTTTCAACTCTTGATTATTCCCGGCTCTTGATTGGATCCTTTCAAAATCAAAGTGAACCAAACTTAACCAATCATCAGCCGGGAAGTGAGTGGTATGTGGCCGGGAATAGCCAAAACATGAATAGATTATTCCCGGATTCTGGCACAATTTAGTCATGTACTAGTAGCAATATTAGGGCATTTCTAGTAAGTGAATTAGAACAGATAACTTTAGGATTCAAAAGGACTATATATGATGTTCCTATTTAAAGTCTTAGTATTTGAGGATGATTCTTTGCCGTCCTAAAATTGAATCGAAAATACTCATTAAAGATTATTCAGATATACGCACCAACTGCATCATCCGATGAAGAGGAAATTGATAGCGTCTATGAAGACATAACGAGAGCCTTGAGTATATCAAAAACACATTTCTCTTTTATAAGCGGCGACTATAATGCAAAAATAGGCAAATATGAAAAAGACGATGGACCACACATAGGAAGATATGCCCTAGGACAGAGAAATGAAAGAAGCGAGAGACTCCTCAACTTCCTCCAACAACACAACATCTATGCCATGCACACCTTTTTCAAAAAACCATCACAAAGAAAATGGACTTGGACCAGCCCTGATGGATCTATAAGGTATGAGATTGTCTATATCCTGTGTAATCAAAAATGCATCGTCGAGAATGTGTCGGTCATAAACCAATTCTTTATAGGCAGCGACCATAGATTAGTTAGAGCTAAAATCAACACAAAACTAGAAAGATCCAAACTCATCCATGCTAAAAGTGAACATCTAAACCTCACTCCCCCAAATATCTTCAGTTAGCAACTAGACCTAAACAGAAGATTATCAAGCACACAAAACACAGAACAACTCTCACTCGATGACCTGGTACAGCACACGACATCCCAGATTATGAACAGTACCAGGAAAACCATAACAAAATTTAAAACCACCAGAAACCCTAAAATATCCCCAGAAACACAACAACTAATGACCGAGAGACATAAACTAGAGAAAGGCACACCACAATATAGAGAAATGAATAAAACAGTTAATAAGGCCATCTGTAAGGACACCAGGATTCATAGCACAAATATGATAAAAGAATGTATAGCACAAAATTCCAACATGAAAGTCCTTAGGAAGAACAGAGCCAAAGGCAGGAGTAAAATTTACCAACTTACGGATTCTGAGGGCAACCTTGTATCAACAACAGAATCAATGTTGAAAATAGTCGAACAATTCTATACAACACTGTACAGAAAACCAACAATCAATCAACCCTCTAGTCACTAACGTTGGTTCTGAAGAAATTCCTGAAGTAGACATCGACGAAATAAAAAAGGCCTTGTGTCAAATGAAAACCAACAAGACACCTGGAGAGGATAGATTGACAACGGAAATGTTTGAATATGGCGGAGAACCTCTACTGAAGAGAATAAAGGAAATCTTTAATGGGTGCATTGCTCAACAAAGAATACCACAGTTATGGCAGAAAACAACAATCACACTCATCCATAAAAAGGGAGATAACACAAAACTTGAAAATGATCGCCCCATCAGCCTTTTATCCCACTTCTACAAATTATTCACAAAAGTGCTTACAAACCGCCTAACAAACAAGTTTGATTTCTATCAACCCCCAGAGCAGGCAGGGTTCAGAAATGGATACAGTACTGTCACAGATCACCTAATACAGATATGGAATATTTTTTTGTTGTTTGTTGTTTGTGAACCAATTAAAGAAATAATATTATATTATTGAGCTTCCGCATTTATATAATAAATATGTTCAAAATACATTGATGCGACATTGGTGCGGCCAGCCTATGTCCATCAAATTAATCTTGAACCACGAATTCGCCGCTCTTTCGCATCTGTATGTAGGTAATCTGTGGTACTGTAGACCACCTTTAGGCGATCCACACACTCATAGAGAAAAGCACCGAATACAACATCTCTATATACATAGCCTTCGTAGATTATGAGGCTTTTGACTCTATAGAGCTACACGCCATTCAGCCCTAAACAATGCCAGAATAGACCATAGATACTCTGGCATAATATCGTTTATCTACAAAACAGCTACGATGACTGTCAAAATAGATGAAATAACAACGACGAACAAAATCAAAATGGAAAGAGGAGTCAGACAGGGAGATACTATTTCTCCAAAACTTTTTACACTGGCGCTAGTAGACGTCTTTAAGATGTTGGATTAGAAAGAGAAAGGTATTAGAGTGGACGGTAAAATGCTCAACCATTTGCGCTTCGCGGATGATGTTTGTTATCCTTGTCCAATCATCGGAGGAACTCCAAATAATGCTCGAACAACTCCATCACACATCTGCAAGGGTAGGCCTCCGAATGAATTTATCCAAGACTAAAATCCTAAGCGAAAATGAAGAACTGATTACGGTCAATCAGCAAATAATCGAAAACGTCAAAGAGTATGTATATCTGGGTCATGTCATAAGACTCGGTAAAGATAATCAAACAACTGAAATTTCCAGAAGGATTAAACTTGGATGGGATCAGAAGAGGGATGGGCGAAAAGACTACTATGCTGGAGACTGCGCCTAACAAAACGTTCAGTTGGCCGACCTCCTAAAAGGTGGACCGATGACATACGAACCATAGCTGGTAAAAATTGGATAAAGAGAGCACAAAACCGAAACAATTGGAAAGTATTGAAGGAGGCCTACATCTTGCAGTGGATGGATAACGGCTGAAGAAGAAGAAGAAGAAGAAGAAGAAGAAGAAGAAGAAGAAGAAGAAGAAGAAGGATCATTAGTAAAACTGAAAATGAATGCCAAAGTTCAGTTGAGAAGCTCATAGAGGCACAGAAATAAATAAATAGCAAATTTGTACAAAAAATTAGAAATACTAGGAAAAATCGTAACTGTATTACCAAAAAGTGATTATCTTAACTGATTGCCTAGATGAGTAATAGCAAAATTTTGTTATCATTGCAAATATGAACAAAGACACTTACATACTTCAATTAAATTGAAAAAAAAAATGCACTTCCTGAAAATTTAATGGCAGAGTGGGAGAGAATATTTCCAATATATGCACAACACAGAAAATATATTAGTTTCATTTCAAAAGTATGATTGTATCAAAATGGCACCTAAATCTTTGTTATTTGTAATTGTGCTCACTTTATTAGATTCCATTCAAGGCTTGGTAAGCATCTCCTAATTTATTCCAAAACTTATTGAAAATAAAACAATTTCAGCATCAAATGGAAGACGATCTAAAAAAAGTCGAACACGCTCTCAAAAATCATTTGCTAGAGACTGTTTTGAATATCAAAATCTCAACGACTATGATCGAAGTGTTTGCGGAAGACGCAAAGCAACGACTCATTTGGGATCTCAAGTCTGCTGCCCAAGGTTTTTGGAAGACGATTGATATGCTTCAGATTGCTTCTGCAGAAGATGGTAAGCTTTGTATTAGTTTTTCATCAACTCAAAAGTTTTCGTTTTTAGTACCACCTGGATGTATTAGATTAGCCACTAAAAGTCTAGAAGAGCTCGATAGCCAAGTCAAATTTGAGGCTCACAATAAGATAGAAAACATTCTGAGTGAAGCTGATGAGGAAGCTACTGAAGCTATATCACAGTCGAGAATTTTTCTATCGGAAATTCCTTCGTTGGCCGAGAAAATCAAAAACTGCAATGGAGGCTTGTGCAAGATTATATTGGACGATCAAATTGTGCAACTGTTGAGAGATTCGTGGAAGACTATAGAAGAATCTTGCACCGATTTTATCGCTTATCGTGAAGAACTGGTGAAAAACTTGCAAACACTTAAATTGGACGCTGATGCTTATCTAGAAGGGTACATGCCGATTATTAGGAATGTTACTACTTGTATTTTTAATAGTTAGGTAGTTTATTGGATTTTGTTTTTAATTATTGTTTATTGTATTTTACATCTTGCTTTGAAAAGTTGGTTGTGATAGGTTAAGTATATTGATGCACAAACCATTGTAACTGATACAAATATATTTTTTATTGCAGTCTTTAGAACTTTATTCTTTAAACAACTTCTCAAGGTTATCAATCTGTTTAATAGCTAATTTCTGCTTTAGAGATCTGGGTGAGGGTAAAGCTATGCCTGATGTGATCACAATAAATCAATGTGGTAGCAGGACAAAGTTCTACGGAAAAAGGATATATTCCCCGATAGGTATGTAATCCTTGAAAAAAACACTTCAAAAAGATAACAGAAACAATACGTAAGACTTTCCAAAGTAAGATATCATGAAGTGGCTGATATCACTTTGAATATTATATAAATGGCGAGAAAAATTTTAATTTCGCAATCAGTAACAATGTTGTCGAAAATTACGGTACTCTTCTTCGTAGCTCATGCTGCTTCAGCATTCGTAAGTAAAAAAATTTACAATTTCATGTTCTACAACAATTTAATTCTTCCAGCATTTAACTGGTCCTCAAGAGCAACTGCAAATTATTATGAAGGAAATAAAACGAGATGTGCCAGTAGATATCAATGAAGCATTGATAAGCATTCGTGCTAATTTGGCACCATTGTCTTATTACACTGACAATGCTAAGACGCGAATAGCGATTACTGATTTAAAGGTAGATGCTCAACCATTTTGGACTAAAATTGCCGAGCTTGACGAACAAGCTAAAAAAGTTGGTAAGAATTAGCCAAAAAGGTATATTTTCTTTTCAACCTCAAGCTTGGTTTTTTTTAGGTAGACTAGGTTGTATTGAAGAAGGCATGGAACTTTTCTTTGATCTAAACAACACTGCCATTGCAAAACCATTCAGAAAAATTAACAACTATTACAATAAAGGATATTTAATCGTATTCAAAAGTGACGATAAAATCGATGCTGTTTCAAAAACTTTAAAAGATTTAACAACAAGGGCCGATAACTGCGCAGAAGACGAGTGCGCATCTGTTTTGGTAAAAGAAGCCATTTCATTCTATTCTTCATCCTACGAAGACATAAAAGCAGCTATTGCTGATATTACTCAATACGCACAAGTGGATTTGTTGAAAATCTTGGCAACAATTCAAATCGATAAGGAGTCTTATGTTTCTGGGTACAACGGTATTTTGGAACGAGTTAAACTTTGCATTGATTAGTGTAGATATAAATTAATAAATTCACTTACTAATTGATATGTCGTTAGTCCTAGCACCTCTATTAGACCGTCTTCGGTGTTTGGTTCTGAGGTTCCCATTGTTTTACTCCACGGCTTCGTACCACCACCATAACTATATTAATAGAAGTATGTATTAGGAATTAAATAAACCGATCATGAGAACCTGTACTAATCATTTTTGTTACATTGATTTTATTATTCATCTGGTAAAAATCTTTCTTTTTTTGCTTAGTAGGTGTGTAATTTTCTCTTAATACTAAACTGGTAAGGTTGGATAATGAGGATTATCAATTTGTCGATTTAAACTTCAACCGGCCCTAACTCCGTAACGCTAAGTCATAGAGGAAAACTCTTCAGGGGCAGATTGTAGAACTCGTCGAGATCTACAAAAAAGCTCCACAAGTCTCACCTCTCCGACTTACTATTTCCGAGATATTTCACTTGAAAGTTTTAAAATCATTGGGTTCTTGCTTTTTTTTTCGGCCAAAAAATCAAAGTCAAAATTTCCCGGGTTTTATTTTACTACATCATAGAGAAGATCCAGAAAACTGTCGGAACTCATTTTGCCCTCCTTAATTTCGCGTTTTCCAGGAGTTTCCGGCCCTTTTCTATACCCCATAAAATACAAAATCAAAATTTTTCGAATTTTGGGAAAACGAAAATTCCACTGTATAGGAGGTCAAAACAAGCAGAAAAGCTATTTGGCATTTTTCCATAGGACGTCTATTAAACCTGGAAAAAAGTAAAAAATAAAATTAATAGGGATGAGGCTTTTCCAGCCTGGACATGGTCTTATCAAATGGACCATAACTCTGGAACGCCTGGATGGATTCCAATGAATCATATTTCATTCGATAAAGGATTAAATTGCCAACAGAGTGACTTTATCCAGAATTTACAGAATCATCCCGTTCCTAAATTATGAGCCTTCAAAGTTAAATTTTCTCAAAAATTAGCCAATTTGTTTCAGGTGGAGTTTCAACTCCCAGGACAACTCTTAGCGCCCTTTTGTCCATTCATTATTATTAGTTATGGAAGAAAATAAACAATAGAACCTTTTTTTTTAATTTTATGGAATTATTGTATATTATTATTGTGGGCTCTAAATACTTGGCTTGTTGAGTCGTTGCAGATTAAATCACAAGACTTTAAGGATTTCTGGGATTTATTCTTGGAATTTAGGATGTAAAATCAATAAAGATTTTAAATTTCTCTTGATTGAAATTCCTCTAAAAATATAGAAAAATATTCTTCAAATAAGTATCAAGGTTGTGGAAATGTCTCATGACTCTCCTAAAGAATAAACATTTTGATTTTGATGCTTTTAATAAGGAATCTTACTCGTTTTTTCAAGATTTTAGAATATATAGGTTCTAAAGACTCGACTGCTTGCAAATTCTAAAGTTGCTCATAAATCTAAAGACTGCAAAGAGTCTAAAACTTTTGATTTAAAGACTCAAAAATACCTTAAGACTTATAACTGAAGTCTCTAAGCACACAACACTCAGGACTTTAGATAATTTAAAAAGTTTGCAAATTTATTATTTAAGATTTTAAAATACGAAATTATAATTTCTGCTGAGAGTTATGTTGATCTTCTTTGGGCTGTAGGTAAAAACTTGACACGATTTCTCTCGTCAATATACAATGAGAAATCTGAAGACTTAATGTTTCATGACTTCAGAAATAACACTGAATAGTTTGAGGATTCATCAATGCTTAAGAAACTGAAGAATCAAGATTCAAAATCCTTAAGACTGAAAGATTCTTGAGTCAAAATTCCGAAAACAAAAAAACTATTAAAGACAGGTGACAAATTACTTCCAAGTAAACAGTGAAGACTGAGTTGAAATCTTTTGGATTCTGAAGACTCAATAATAAGAGTTCGTGAGTCAAGATTCGGAAATCAACATCAAACACGATGCAAATTTACTCATCGTAACTCATTGCTGATGCAAATACTGTAAACTCTGAACCCCATAAGTAAAGGTGCAACACCGGTTCTAGCGCAAAATCGGTCAATTTTACATGTAAATCTCTCATAAGAAAATCTAAGTTTCATTCTGTACATTTTTGCACCTCATGTAGAAAGTTTTTTGAGTACGGCAAGTTAAATTTTATGATCAATGAGGTGAGGTTGTGACACAAAAATAACTGATCTATAAGAAGGTACCAAATATATTTTCAGAATTTTGACTTACAATCCTACGAATTGATTCTTCAGAATTTTGAGCATGGGAGTAAAGGTGCAACACGGGTTCTAGCACAAAATCGGTCATTTTTACATGTAAATCTCCATAAGGAAATCTAAGTTCCATTCTGTACTTTTTTGTACCATTTTAGAGTAGGGGTGAAAGAACCCCGCAATATTTAAATGGAAATTGGTTACCCGTGATATTTGGATGAAATTTAAATATGTTATTGGGGATGCCGTAAGCAACATTTTTTACCATGGGCACAACCCTGTATATATGACAGGCGAGGCGTGGTTAGCTGTCAAATATTGGAATCTTATATCCAAAAGCAGAGTAACTATGGCAGATTTTGATGAACAAAAAATATATTTCTACTAAGTCGACCAAGTTGAGTCGAAAAATGTCTACCATTTTGATACCTGCCAAAACCCTATCAAACGGTAGCACTCGTCTTTTTCAGTTTTCAATATTTCATGATGTCATTTGACACTTTTAACTTGTATGTAAATTCTGAATTCAGTTTTTGCTTTTTGGTTCATATTGAGTTTGTTTGCTTAGTGAAGTTCTACAACTATAATGATAGAATAATACAATCATACAATAGAACTAAACCTTCACTAAGCAAACTAACTCAATATGAACCAAAAATCTATTAACAGATTCTGACAGTTGTCAAAATGTGACATGCATGAACTTTGTTTAATGTTTTATCACCGCTAAACTACCTTGAAACAAAAAAGAACCAGATTAGAGTATTTTTTTTCTACTAAAACAAATGACAGGTTTTGACAGTTCTATCATTTTTTTTTTCAATTTTTGAATTCAGAATTTACATACAAGTTAAAAATGTCAAATGACATCATAAAATATTGAAAACGGGAAAAGATGAATGCTGCCGTTTGGCAGGGTTTTGACAGGTGTCAAAATGATTGACATTTTTCGACTTAACTTGGTCGACTTAGGGTGGCTATTATAAAACTACTTTGAGAGTTAACTCAAAGTTAACTTCTAGAATTACATGTAATTCAAAAAGTTAACTTCAAGTTAACTGTCAAAGCAGTTTTATAATACCCACCCTTAGTAGACATTGATACTTTGATCATCAAAATCTGCCATAGTCACTCTTCTTTTGGATATAAGATTCCAATATTTGACAGCTAACCACGCCTCACCTGTCATATATACAGGGTTGTGCCCATGGTAAAAAATGTTGCTTACAGCATCTCCAATAACCAAAAACTAATTTCATCCAAATATCACGGGTAACCAATTTCCATTTAAATATTGCGGGGTCCTTTCCAGGAATAAGCCCCGCCCCCTTTCCAGTGTCTGTGACTTCCATTGTTCAGGGTCATTGACTGTACCTGGCTTCGAGCGACTCATCGAACCCACATAGCACCTCGTGACTTGTATACAGACCTATACACTTTTCTTTAGAAAGGTCTGTATACAGCTATACAGGTCTAGAAATTAGAGATGGTATGGAATAGCTTTTTCTTGTACCAGTTACGACCTGTACCTGCTCCCAAAACAAACCTATTACAAATACCTGTTCCAGCTCCAAACTATTCCCTGTCAAACTCAGCGATTCACATGGTCGCCGATAGGTGGCTAGCGATATAACGCCGCCATTATGTGGCCTACCCTACCTCTTGCTAATTTTAAATATGAATACATAGGATTTATAAATGGACATCCATCATGAAAAATTGAAAACAACGTAACGTAGGTACCTATTTGATGACTATTATTACCTATGTACATCAAATACGTTGCTTTCAATTTTTTATGATGGATGTCCATTTTCCATTTAAATCCCATAATATATTCATATTTGGAAGTAGCAAGAGGTAGGCTACAAAATGGCAGCGGAACCTCTTTTGTCGCCACTGTATGTAAAGTCAAGAAGATAGAAGATACAGCAGCAGATTCCATCCGTTTTTCTCTGAAAAACTTGAATAGATTACTGTTCCATTGAATTAATATACTAGGTTTCAAAGGCAAAGACGTAACGGTGCTAGCGCCTGTTCAGCGAACTCGAAACAGGTAAATCTAATATTTGGTAATCGGTCCACGGAACAGGCAGGTCATACCTGTTCCAAAAGAACAGGTCCAGTTCCAAAAGAACAGGTCCAGTTCCAGCGTAAAATGCGTACTAGAAACAGGTCTGTATACAGCTAGACGGGTCTAGAGACAGGTCTGTAAACAGCTACACAGCAGAGACATAGCAACAGGGCGTACAAGTGGTGCCTCGCTCAAGGGCTGGGGCCCCGCCCGGATGGTCCTGCCGTTTTTGGACCCAACATACAAGAAAATTTAAAAAAATCATGCTACGCCCGCCCAAGCAATCTTCTTCGATTTTTAACTGAAATAGAACTCTGTAATATCGATCTCTATATATTTCTTTTCGGTCAGCCCTCCGACTCCCAGTACTCGTGTCAACTGTCAATTATCAATCTCAATCGTGAAAGTCTATGAGTCACATGAGTGAATCGTGAATCCCCTGTGGAGTTTTGTCGATGAAAACATGAAAACAATAAATGCTCCTCCATTTTCGGCTTAATCCCTAAAAGTCGTCATAGCAATCAGAGACAAATTATACCTGGCAAACTTACCACAACAATGCCAATGCGTGATCAGTTCAACATTTTTAATGTTTCACTTCACATTTTTGTCAACGGGATTCAATCAATTTTTGGAGAACTATTATTTCAAAAAAATATTGTTTGTATCACGTACCTAGCAGGTTTTTAAGGACTCATTTGCTATAACAGCAAATATTCGCCCTAAAAATAGTATGTTACCTACGTGAAGAGTCCGGAAAAAACTGTTTTTTGGACGAGTAGACAAGTCAGCGAGTCAAATACAAAAGTTTTGAGAAATTGTCAAAAGTTTTCAACTAAGTCAGTTTTAAGCAAGAGGACTAATAAATAGGCGCACATACATGGTCTTCCATTTAAAAAAATATTAGTTCGCTCTGCTACACTCTTTTGACGCCCCCTGTATCCTTAAGACTGACGTAGTTGAAAACTTTTGTCAATTTCTTAAAACTTTGTATTTGACACTTTTGTCAAAAACGTCTAATGAAAAAGTTAGGAGGGGTTTACATTAGATCACCCTGTATTTTCAGAACGGTTTCCGATCCGAAAAACCTTATTTTAGGTACTTGTACCGAAAAAGTTATTTCTGTTAGCCCTCCAAAAATTTCTCGCCCCCGAATTTGCCATACGCCATACGTCATTTTGCATATAACCCCCCCCTCCCAATGAGTTTGAACCTTCCGATGTCCATATGGTGAAGCGGGCCCGGTTTTGACTTGCTACGTCACTGCTACACAGGTTTAGAGACTGGTCTGATACAGCTATTGAACTGAACCGTATTACGGGCCCCCATTTTCTGGCGCTTTGTTCTCGGGGCCCCATTTACATAACCTAAAAGTTGAATCCCGCCTCGTGCAACTTAAAAACAACTAGACAAAGCACGAAGCGGATTTCACTATTACTTACGTCATCATCAGTACAAGGTACCTTGAATGGGGAACCAAGTCACGAGGTGCTATGTGGGTTCGATGAGCCGCTTGGGGCCAGGTACGGTCAATGACCCTGAACGAATGAAGTCACGGGCACTGGAAAGGGGGCAAGGCTTATTTCTGGAAATTTTACCCCCCACTCCAAAATGGTACAAAAAAGTGCAGAATGAACCTTAGATTTTCTTATGAAGATTTGTATGTAAAAATGACCGATTTTGCGCTAGAACCCGTGTTGCACCTTTACTCCCATGTTCAAAATTCTGAAGAATCAATTTATAAGATTGTGAGTCAAAATTCTGAAAATATATATTTGGTACTGTCGCGCAATAAGCTTTTCTTAGCTTCAATTTCTTTTTGCCTTCTAAACTCCTCGAGTTCAGCATAAAGTGAGCGTAGAAAATCAAGTTCCGCTGCGTCGGGCGGATTTAGGCTTGTGGCGACGAGCGGGACTTCTGGCTCGTTAAAATCGGATTATGATACGGCCGCAGGAATGCGGCCTTGACTTAGAATCACGTCCAACTCGTCTAGAGTGGCGCTGTAGAGGTCTGGACTGTATCTGTCCGTCATTTTTATCGATTGCCTGAAGTCGGTTTGGGATGCCAGTTGTTTTTGGGGTGAAACAACAACCCTTTTTGTTTCCCACAGGTGTTTGTACAACTTCTCAGTTATACTGAGAGGAGGTCCCGCCAAAACCACCTCGCTGGTTCTTTAAGGAATGAGCTTGCGAACCAGCAGCCTCCAGAAAAAAGGAATTGAGAATTGACCTTTTTTTTGTATGATATGGGAGCAGGGCTCCAACTCGGTTTTTTGAAGTCCGAGGGGCCCAAGTTGTATTAACACGGTGTCTAGAAACTTTTGTTTGCAACGACAGTACGTTGAACTCAGATGGCACTCTGAGGAAACCGTCGAGCGGCTTCGAGAAGTTAAGTGACAAATAAAAACAGAAACGGTGCACCAGGTCCGAAAACCAGGTTCATGTGTTTTGGTCAAAGTTTCGTGTGTACCTACTGTAGTGAAAAAGAGCTTTTTCCTAAAAACCTTCCATAAAATTCAGGCTAAAGGTAGTTTCGACTTTTGTCTTCTTATAAAACTCTGTCCCAACTCGGCGAAGCTATCTTGCTTTAAGTTAAATTGAAATTATTATAAATTTCCTAAAAAAGCCTCAAGAAAAAGTCAAGCTGGGAGAATTTAGACTTTCTAGTCTTTTCACAAATTCTGTCACAACTTGGTGAGCCTTTGGAGGAAGAAAATGATTATTTGATTTTTGAGTTTCAATTCGACGTGGAGCTTGCAGAAGAGATAAGAATTTTCATAAAAATTCACGAAAATCGTCGAAGACGGACACGGAGGGTTGGAAACCTTTGAAGAAGATGTCCAAAAATAAATGTGACAAACGCGGAGGAGGAGTTCTTCCTAGACGGAAAGCTGCACGAATGTGCCGAATTGGAAACGCGGGGTTCAATTAAGAACCAGAAATCAAACGATTTTTTCTTTTTCTTCCAGACAGTTACCCTGAAAAGGGCTTCGTCGGGAATTGGTGGTAAGCTAATGCAAAGTACTCCCCCAGGACACCAACCTCCAGTGCGAGGATTAATGCGGATTTCCTTGCGACGAACTGGGCTTTTCCGGAAGCCTTATTTCACGCCCGCGGGGTTGTAACGTTGGCTCTCTCTTGTATCTTCGTACCTATGAGGTAGCTTGCACCAACAGCGCTCTGAGAGGTTCGTCTACCGGCCACATAAAGTGATCCCTAAGGCAAGGTGACCCACAGCAGAACGTTGCCAGCCTAATACGCGCTCCTAAATGCCGGGTACATGTCACAGCATTTTTGTTGAACAAATGAGGGGAGAGTTGTTCTTGTCTCTGGCGCAGAGAACGGGGCAGACAGGCGAGATGAAGTCTCAATCACTCCCTGAAGAGAACTGACTGACTCTGGCCTGGAAACGGCTATTTTTATATGTTTTGGCGCTACCCTTCACAAACTCCGCCCACAACTAAAAACAACCAATCCCATGCAACGCAACAGCAACCTCACCTCATTGATCATAAAATTTAACTTGCCGTACTCAAAAAACTTTCTAGATGAGGTGATTTTGGATAATAACAGCTTTGATAATTTTCATTGGATTTCTTACCTGCCAATATTAAGAAACACAATAGCATGAACTCGAAGCTCTTTCAATTTGGGTGTGATATCGTTACCGTCACATTCCAAAGTAACGTAATCCGCAAGAGCCTTCCATTTCCTTCTCAGCAAATCCTTACCCCCCATTTGACCGTAAAACATCTTGTTGCGCAGCCTCGAATTGAACTTCTCCGGATGTGCTTCTGCAAAAAAAAAAAAAAAAATTCTATTGCAAATTGAAAAAGCGCTTTTTAAGCTCTCGGAAAAAGTTTCGCGAAACTTTACATTTAAAAATATATAAATTGCTTTTTTCGTTCTTTGAATATATTTTTTAATTGATTTTACCTCTGGCTTCGTGAAATTCTAGAGCGATGTGAGCGTCGACGCCCAAAGAGTAATAATTGTTGACCACGCTCAATGGTAACTTATCTTTGCCGTCGTTTGATTGTTCCGCATTTGGATTGGTTTCAACGTCCAAGCACCATCTGTCTAAGAGTACTGTATCGCTGTGGCTGATGTTGGTTAGGATTTTTGAGATTGGTTCATCGGTGTAACCCTAAAAAAGAATTCTGTCTTAGTCAAAGTTTTTCTTATTTCAAAATAATTCCTTTTTTCTTCTTGGAACTGTCTTTGATAGATATTAATTAGATTTCACAGAATACATATTCCAACAATAATTATTTCATTGTCAGTTCTGTAATTGCTTATGATATTTCTAATTCTCGTTGTTTTATTTTTACATATACATAGTTGAAAAATGACATTATTTTTAATCAAACACAGAGGCCTTTAGGGACAAGGCGATGTTGTGTTTGCAACATCTAAACAGTCGTAAACCGCAAGGGATTGCATATTATGTGGCACGACATGAAAGCGCAATAGAAATCACACACAAATAATTGAATTAGGGTTTTAATTAGTTTAATTTTCTTTTGCTGTTGGAATATCATTTGCTCGAAAACACCGAAACCCTTTTTACACGCCTTGTAACAATAACACTAAACACACAATGAAGGGATGGTATTCATATTTTCGACAGTGTTGCTAACTTAATACAATGAACAAAGTTTACCTTGTTTTGTTAAATTCACATTTTAATTAGGTGAAAGTTGGTTTGCATGTTTAGGGTGCTTTTCGTAAAAGTAATCTAATTGTTAAAAGCCTCTATCCCTGAAGAAAATTATATTTGGAAAGCGAAAAATAATAATAATACGGAGCACAATACTTTGCAGTTATTTAACATTCAATGCTTAATATATTTTTATTATTCGAGTTATTTGAAGTTCATTTTAATAAAATTTCTTATGGCGTTGTTTTTCACTGAATCAATTTGAAATCTCAATATTATGAGCTCATAACCTTCCTCTTTTCACTTGAAAAGTTTCAAAATTTTCCCTCAACTTGTTTTTCCAAAAAAACATCATATCATAATGTGACCCAGTTTATTTTCATTATTTGTGTCAAAAACCTACCTATACCTACAAGATTATGCATTGTCTCTTTGGGGGTGTTTTATCAGAACAGTCGCATGGTCTTTACCAGATTCATTTATTGCAGGATAATGGTTACACTTGTAGGTTTGATGTATTATATCAGCCTGAGATTTGCTGTAAAGTTCTGAGTGTTTTTCCTGGAACTTGTTTGCAGGAATTGTTGGACTTAAATATAGAAATTAGTGATGTGGGACTGTCTGACATTATTAAGTGGTCGATTGGTTCTGATATAGCAGGAAATTTATATACAAGTCGGAGACTGATATGCTTAAAAGTGGATTGGTAGCCATTGAGACGTCGCTGGGATGGGTGCTCATGGGAAAGGTACCTAGATAACCAAACAAGGAAAGTATTGAAAATGAAGAAAAAGTTAAGGAAAATTAGAGGATTAAAAATTTGGGTTTTGGGCGGGATTCGAACCCGCGTCCTCAGCATTGCCGGTGCTACGCTCTAACCAACTAAGCCACCACGACCCTACAGATCTTTTTGATTTTTGTTCCGGTGTTGTTAGAAAGAGTCGCGTGGTTCTCCGCTCATTGCCAAACTTCTTAATCCTCCAATAGACTCACACATTTATGGCATCGGTCATAAAACAGAGAACCACGCGACTTTCTCTAACAACACAGAAAACAAAAATCAAAAAGATCTGTACGGTCGTGGTGGCTTAGTTCGTTAGAGCGTAGCACCGGCAATGCTGAGGACGCGGGTTTGAATCCCGCCCAAGACCAAAATTTTTAATCCTCCAATTTTCCTTAATTTTCTCTTAATTTTCAATTTCTACCCTTTTCGGTCGTTGTAACTGACAAAACTTCATTCCTTTCAAAGAAAGTATATCCACCAGCATTTTTAAGTTGCTTTGTGATGGACTATAGTGTAAGTAATCTGTGGGAATTAGATGTCCTAGGCATCACTGAGCCGGTAGCCAATAAAAGTAAGCTTGATTTGGAAGAGGCAGCTTTAGAATTTTTTGACGAAACTGTTTGAGTGAATGGTGAGGGTAGCTACGAAGTAAGACTTCCATGGCTGGAAGGACGCCCTTCGTTTGCCATGAATTACTTTCTCGCTAAGGAAAGACTAGAAACAACTTTGAAGACCCACAAAATTTGTATGAATCATAATATGTTGCTGTTTTTAAGGAATGGGTTCGAGAATGCATTATTGAATTGGTACCAGACAGCGATAACAATACAGGCCATTATCTGCCACATAGGCCAGTGGTAAAAACCAGTTCTAGTAGTACAACCAAGATCAGACCAGTAAACGTTAGTGCCAAAATATAAGGAAAAGTGTCAGTGAATCAATGCTTGGAGAAAGGTCCCAACCTCATCGAGTTGATTCCAGAAATTTTATACGATTTCGGAAAAATAAAATCGGAGTGACTTCAGACATCAGAAAACCTTTCTATAGATAAGTGTACATCCTAAGGATCGAGATTTTTTGCGATTTATTTGGAGGGATTCTCAAGGAAAGGAAAGGATATACAGGCACATACAAGCAGCCCTTTTTTGTTAGCGGCCACCAGCAACCATCATCTTCTGTTAGAAGTCGAAAAACATAATGAAGGTACTTCTGAATTTGAATATTCCTTGCTCTCTATGTTCTATGTGGACAACTGTGTAACCAGTCTACCGGATCTACAAACTTTTATACGTTAATCCAATATGATTTTGCGACAAGCACAATTTGGTTTGAGAGGGTGGGAGTTTTCTTGTCCAACACAAATTAATTCAGATAGTTCTGATAAACCCATTCCTCTTCCGGGACTTGCTTGGAATAATCGTGATGACACTTTGAGTATCAGTGAAGAATGTGTTGGAGATCTGGAGTTACTTATGTCTAAACCAGTTACCAAGAGGCTAATGTTATCATAGATAGGCAAATTCAATGGGATCAAACACCATCCCATTGAATTTGCCTATCTGACTACATTGATTTCGAAGCTGTTATTCCAGAAAACTTGGAAGGAAAAGTTGTCATGGGACACTGAAGTTGGTGAAGATATCAAGAAGTCATTCTGAGATTGGATAAAAGCTTTGCCCATTTTGGTTGACAAGCAATTTCCTCGTTGGATACATGCGTTTAGTGAAGGAACTAGAATGAGCTTACACACGTTTTGCGATGCAAGTGAAGGGGCCTACGGTACGGCGGTCTTTTTGAAGTATGCCTATACTCTTTTAGCTGCAAAAAGTCAAGTAGCGCCAATAAAAATTGTGATTATACCTCGAATGGAGTTGCTGGCGTGAGTTATCGGCATTAGATTGAGCAAATCATTGGAGCGTTTTTTCTGGAAAGATTCAACAACAGTATAGTCATGGATTAAGAGAAATGAAGAGTGGTGTAACTTTGTATGTAATAGAGTGACTGAAATCAGAAAGACAACGGACAGCTGGCGTCATGTTCCTGGATTCCAAAACCCAGCCTACTTTCCATTACGCTGTTCACCACGACAGCTGTACGAATCTTAATGGTGGGAGGGTCCCAATTGGCTTTATGAAAACCCTTATTTGTGGCTTCACGAAATTGTCACCTATAATGAAATTGAAAAGAATAAAGGTGTTGTGACTAGTTCAGCTAACTCTGGAGTAGTTAAGGAAGCAGCAGAGTGGCATTTGATATATATAGTTTAGATTTAGATTACAGATCTGTAAAGCCATCTCAAATACCTCTCAAACAAGGTACCACTAGACCCAGTTTGCCTATTCAACTTTTGAGGGTGCAATTCACCCCGGTAAGGAGGAAAACTTTGAAATAGCCAAAAAGTGTCCCCCTTGCAAACAAAATCGACGTGTTTCGGCGTTATTTTAATTTCCTGATAATTTTCGAGAAAATCCAAGTGGATCCTTTCTAATTTTCCACCCTGTATATGTAGTTAGTCAGCAGTGAAAATATTCATACATGTTTATCATCCACAAAATATAAATGCAAGTCTGAGCTTGTTGTTTTTGCTAAAGTGGAAACGCTTATCAGTTATTAGTAAAAATAACCGTGATACATGATACCCCTGTTTATTTCGTTCCCACATTAAACGTCGGCGGCGTGATGATTCACGAATTTTCCTTATCTACCACTACAGCATCCTGTAATAATACGACACAACGAACTTCACACTATGTACGCTAGATGGCGCCATCGATAACATCATGACGTCGAAAAATTTGGGATTGGACCGGGTCAAATCCCCGAAATTTTAGATCAAAGGCGTCGCCGATCTGGAGATTTTCCCACGGTATCGAAAAATTTCCCAGGCTCAGGTGCCCCCGTTTCTACTATATACAGGGTGTCTCAGCCGAAAGTGAACCATTCTAAATGGTTATAACTTTTGAACCAGGTGTGCTAGCTACCTGCGGTTTGCGCCATTCGATTTCTCTTGGTCTAAAGTTTTTTCTAGTCAATATCAAAATTCTCAACTATTTTCAATGGAACACCGTGTATATCACAACGTGAAAAAAAAAATTATTATTCAAGGTAACCATGTACCAATAGACATCGTCCCTAAAACTTGAAGTTTTAGAGGTAAAAAATCAAAATCGAAATCTTGGTATTTTTGCAAACCCATGAAACTTCATGTTGTAGGTACTTGATATCACTATGACAAAGAATTTTATAACTGTCTAGTAGCATATCAATTAAGTCAAAATACAATTTCCAAGAAAATTTCACGAGTTCCAGAGTATTTTCTCTGGAATTCGTCAAATAGAGATACCCCAAAAGTAACAGTTTGGTGTGCAATCTCTATTAAGAAAAAATACAGACCATTTCCATTAATGAACCAACGATAACAGAAATTGTATACACTGATATGTTCTTTCTTCCACAGTTAAGACAGGAGGGAATCTTGGATGATATCCATTTACACCAAGATGATGCCCCCACCTCATTATTCTTTAATAGCAAGAGAATCACTGGATATGACATTTGGGAAAAGAGGTATATGGAGGTTCTATAGAATGGACACCTTACTTTCCTGACTTGAGAGTTCCAGACTTTTTTCTCTAGAATTATGTCAAGGAAAGCTTTTGCTCAAATTGCCTAAAAGATCTTAAGCGGAACATTTCTAATGTCATTGAAGCGATTCCCCAGGAAATGTTACACAAGTCATTCACCCATTTACTGATCCATAAATGCCTGGAACAGAATGGCTAACATATACATATACAGCATTTTGTATAGTTTTATGCAGTTTTTATTAACTTTTTATTGGGCAAAGATAAATTCCAAGCTTTGTAAATATGAGTTTGCAAAAATACCAAGATTTTGATTTTAATTTTACACGGCAAAAACTTCAAGTTTTAGGGACTGTCTATTCGTACTCTAGATCAATTTAAAATTTTACTATGATAAACTCCAAGCCTTCCACTTTTCACTCCAAAAGTTTCAAAAATTTCCTCTAACTTGTTTTTCCAAAAAATACCATAATGTGACAGAGTGTATTTTCATTATGTGCCCAAAAACCTAAATATTTTTGAAAAATTCCAATTTTCTTTACACACCCTGTATAAAGTTAAGATTTGGCGATTTTATAGAGAATCTGATGAGCTATTAGAAACGTTACTTAGATTTTCTGGAAAAAAACTCAATGCAACGGTTACAGGATATTTTTCTAGGAATCAAACTCATTTTGCATTATTCTATTAAACACCCTGTAAATTGAAGTTAAGAATTTCGTGAAAATTTGTAGAAAAAGCTTCAAAATAAAAATACATCGCTCTATTAAATTCCTTAATATTGTGTCTTTACAGTGTGTCATTGAAAAGTTACAGACGTTTGAACTTTAATATTTTTCTAAATTTCTTTCTTTATCTAAAAAACCTAGAAACTTTTGAAAATTTATAACTTTCTCTACACACCCTGTATATAGTTGAAGCTTTATGATTTTATAGAGAATTCGATGAGTTATTAGTGGCTCTATTTAGATTTTTTTTTCAAAAAACATTATGGGTGATACAGAAAACACCCAGGAAAAACGCGTTTTGTCCTACTATATTGAACACTTTTCATTTTCGAGGATTTTTTGGAAAATTCCTAAGCAATATTGTATGTTTATAGGGCGTCCTCAAAAAATTTATAGACTCTATTTTAGTATTTCCAACGAATGTGTTTCAAGCGAGATTGTCCAAAGTAATCAAAATAAACAAATCCTACTCACTCCGCCCCATCCAAGTGCTCTGGCAAGATCGTTCCCGGTACCCAGAGGTAGTACCCCCACAGGCGGCGCAGGCTTCATTTTAATCTGATCTATGACGCTCAGTACCCAGCCGACGGTACCATCACCGCCGCAGGCCAGCACTCGCAAGTTTGGTACTTTCCGAAACAGTTCCAAACCGAACTTTGGACCGCCTTGAGTCAAATCAAAAACCTGAAATATACAATTTCTAAATGTATAATGATAAAGAGAAAAACAAACAGAGACATAACAATGTATTATTCCGTATTTTCATATTTTATAATTCATTTCGTGCAAATAAGTATGGAAAATGCCAAATGGATGTGTACTTTTCAAACAAAAATAGATTGAATTTTAGATTTTCTACATTATGTTTTACCTGTCGTGGATTAAGCAGCCATTGAAACTTTTGCATCAGCTTCAGGCCCTGATTGCCGCCGGATTTCGGATTTATAAATACGATCACAGGAGTTACGATGGTCGTTGGAATGGGTTTGATCACGAATGTCTTATATTCTTTATCCTAGAAAAAAAATTGAAAAGTGACTGTCAATCCGAACATATTATAGTGAGCAAATAGATAATGTTGGACAACAAAAATATTGTCGTCTCTAATGTTTTTTAAAACTTCTGACCTGTATCACTTTGCAAATTAAACTTAATTTGTTGAAAATCTAACTTTATCTGTTTTAAAAGAGACAACATTGTCTCTTCATTTAGGTATCTTCTTGTGTCCAATGTATTACCACCAATACTAATAATTTATTGAAAATAAAATATCCATTTACAATTCAAACAAAACATTCGTATTTACGGAAGCCTGCCTAGGGCGCACCACTCGAAAAAAAAAAAAAAATTGATAATTAACAATGTAATGTAAACAGCTGATATTGTGTTAACAATACCAACATGAGTATTGGCGATAATAAATTTTCATTAGTAGGTACTAATGTAAATGAAGTATGTGTTGATAAACAAGTTCTTTTTTGGAAATATAATATAAGCAATATAATCGATAAAATTGTAATATATTCAGTCTTTTTCAAGTGAAAATTTAGAATTTAGGAATTTTATTATATCGTATTATTCAGGTGAACAACATAGACAAGAAAATCAACTTCACATCAAACTCGAAGCATGAAATTGCCAATGAGAAAATTATTATGAAATTACATATTATAACTCACCTTATTACTAACTCTCTTCTTATTTGTTCCCTTTTTTTTTGGCACCTTCCTCAAGCTCGACTTGAAGCTACCCTTCCTAGGTAACTTCACTATCCAAGACGGAGGAACTATAATATTATTATGTACACCTAAAACAAACAATAATTATTCCATAGTGCTTAAAAGCACTGTCAGAACATTATTAGGAGACATATTCTCTATGTGCGCGAAACAATTATCCCTCCAGGGGTTACGTGTGATACAATATGTATTAAAGGGATTATAAGGGACAATCCAAAATTTCGGAGTATAATAATTATTCGAGGGGATCTGAAATGTAAATGAGTGAGCGGACCTCTCTCCCTTTTGCAGATGTTTTCTTGTTGCTCGTAAAATATACATTTGGGATTAGCTAATGCTGCGATATCCTTTTTACTGGGAATTTACAGTTCAGATAAACATGGCTTTGAATAATTCACGAAATTTAATGGTTGTAAATAATAATAACAATTTAACTTGATATTATCTTGTACTTACAAGGCTTTTCCTTCTATTGTAACTGAATAACATTTCTGTCTATGAAACACTGTTTGCTTTTACACCATTTTAGGCTATTGTATAGAATTCACTGTGAGTTTAAATTTTTCACGTGTTTTTGGAGAAAAGTGGAAAAATATATTTTGTCATTAATCTATACTAGACATATTCTATTCTGTAATCATAGTAATACATTATCCATTACTCTTTGGAATGTTGCTGGTGCGTTCTTTAATCCAAAGGGCATTCTGTTAAATTCGTAATGACCATTTTCAACATTAAATGCTGTTTTTAGTATCGAATTTTCATGCATTTTGACTTCATGAAAGCTCCACACTGGGCATCAAATCTGAATTCAATACATCCAAATTATTTTTTTTCTAAAATATTCTCAGAGCAGCACATTTTTGTTAACAATCTCTCTATTCAAAATGCATAAGAGATGTTGCGCAGCTCTATAATCAAAGTTTTGTTTGTTTTGTCGTGGCACTGTATGCATAAATTGACGACAGAACAAAGCATCGAAGTAAATGGGGAAAATATTAATACCTGCCAACGGTTTTAGTGGTTTTGTTCTTGGATTACTTACGAATTTCAAGTAGCTATTGAATTATAATAATTTGGAGAAATAAATCACTACTGAAAAGAGAAACTTCTCTTAGATTCAGAGATAATGCTCAAGAAACTCATCAAGAACTGTCTGGTAAAATAATATTAATTTATTCATATTTATAGCAACTCTCAGTTTCGCATTGCGTCCCTCTCAGTTTCAATTAATATTCATTCCCCCCAGGAGGTAGATTTCAAGGAATAAAAAATTAATGAATTAAGGAGAACCCTTGAAAGCCCAGATTTATCTTCTCATTTTATAAGCCGTGAATGAGAGAAAAACTATCAGCCGCAGCTGTTGTGAGTCATATAGAAGAAGTTTTTAAGTGCTCTAATTATAAGGGCACTTTGTTGTAATAAAAGTCACGTGTGGAGATTATTTTATGATTTCATAAATTTTATAAATGAATATTAAAGTTCTTACCTAAATTACATTCTTCGCCTATTCGTTGAATATTGAAACACGAATCCTTATTGTGGAACGCTACTTTGCACCACGAACAACTTATAGCTACGATTTCTTTGGAACTAAACGATAATTTCGATTGGAATGACTGAAACAAAAATAGTAATGGTTATAAAACTCCTCGCCGAACTCGGTCAGAAGGCATTACATTATGGCCCTTTGAACGAGTTTATTTAGAAAGAGTATTTTTAAAGGCTCTTTATTTACTCCTCGACAAAAGCCTTTACCGGAAAATTAGAAGCCCGGCCACGAGGCTTTAGGCTTTATTTTAAAAGGAGCTTTTGCACGATTAAAGGAGGTTGAGAAAAGGAACAAAATAAAACGAATGGAGCATTGTTTAGCTCTAACGGTTTTAGAGTGTTCATTTTAACTTGTTGACTGGCAGAATGACGCAATAAAAAATTTAAGCATACGTTTCTTGGATTTAAATATCTTTTCTAGTCCAAGGTTTTACAAGACTTCCACAAGGTTCATGTTAGTGTCTCCTAGTTACTGAACTTCAGTGCCCAGGGCCAGTTGCTTCTTGTCGCGACCCTGATCCAGTCAAAGACTATCGGAAACACTGGAAGATATTAATCCAATCCTTCAGGTTCTCCTCAAGGGATTAAGGACTACTCAGGTTTGATAAGTGTGTTGTGTTTATTGTCTTAATATCTGGAACCTATCAAACCTTACCAACCCCTTGTTGGAACTAAATCACCACAGCGACGCAGTCTTCTACAATATTGAATTTGCCCTTCCGGTTTTTGTTATTTCAATGTTAATTAATTATCTATATTACTTATATTATATGAAACTTGCTCTCCAGGTTATGTATTGTTACTTCAATTTTAATTATTTATCTATATTACCTATATTATTCCATAATATTAAATTCGTCCTTCAGGTTACGTATTGTTACTTCAACTTTAATAATTAATGATCTATATCTCTCTAATATCCCATTAAAACATGCTGCACTGAATACAGGAAAATACTTATACACTGAGGTTAAAAGGCCATTTACGAAGGTACTGCATTTAGTAATCTTGTCTATTGATTTACATTTCAGGTATTATTGCTGTTATAAGTGTTATACAATACTCTTTTCTTTATTTAGGGACTCAAGTTGAGTATAATAGACCTATCTCGCATGATTAGAAAAATAGAGCTTAATTATAATAAATACAAGTTAGAAAGCAATAGAAGATGACATGCGCGCGCAACTCGTAGGCTGCAGTGTAGCCAGAATGTATTATTGTAGAACAAATGTAGACAATATAAATCGAAAATTATAACAATAAAGAAGTGATATAGTGTCAAGTGTTTTACAACGCCTTACATCGGACAAAAGAAGAGTTTTAAAGTGGATAAACATCGTTTGCACTTTTATTTTGATAAATGTTTCATCCGGCAACATTGCACAATAAAAGTCCAAAGGAATATGTCAAGTATAATCTGACAAAACCTTAAACGACACTGCGGTGAGTTCCAAGTAATATGTAAAGTATTAGTTGGCTCTTTGTCAAATTACACGTTACAAAGAAAGAAGGAACGATTCGTTCTGAAATGGCTCCTGAATAAGAATATGACGCAAGCCTGTCACAAACTTGCTTCTTATTGGACGCTCACCTGCAGCCTACAAGCGACGCGCGCAGTCCAGGTAATAGGAGATCGGTCTATTATTGTAAATACTATTTTTAAAACGTAAGGTTAGGTACTCCTGGTCGATTTATTTTCTTCTTGTTCTGGTTGCAGTGTTAATAATTTTCAGTGTTCTAGGGCGTTCGGAAAACCCACTCCGAACCTACTCTAGAGTCAAACTTGTTCTGGTTCAAATTAAAAACCCGTACCTGATTGTAGAAAAGCGTTTCACTTTTGTCCTTCCTTCTTGTTTACTTTTATATTTCAGGTTGTGTTGTTGTAGAAGTTTCCTGCTTTCGTTATATCGGTTGACTTCGTGTACTGCAGGGAAAAGCATTTCAAAACTTGTTTTAATGATTCAAGAACGCTAATGCCTTCTTTCTATAGGAGATTTTTTCAGGCCTAGAAGACGGGACCTATTTGATTATCTCCTGGAATATTTTGTCTTTCTCTGCTTCTAATTTTAATTCATTTTTCGAAACTGGTAGAACCCAGTGTGTTCTTCAGGTGAAGTGTTTGTTGTCGCACGTGGAAGAGGCCGGTCCATTTTCTTTGTCAGGTTGATAACTAATATCATAGTCGTAGCTTCCCAAAATCATAGCTCATCTTTAAAGTCGATTTACAACAACTTTTAGTGTACCACGTTTTTTACTAAAGATTCTTTCCAGAGGTTTGTGATCTGTCATCAGATTGAAATGTCGACCATAGAGATAGAGATGGAATCTTGTCACTACAAATACTAAGCCAAGTGCTTCTTTATCTATAGTTGCGTAGTGTCGTTCTGACTTTTTTAGTGTCCTTGATTCAAAAGCCACAGGTTTTAAACTTCCATTTAGAAATTTTTGAAAAAGGAGTGCTCCTAAACCTCTTGAACTGGCATCGCTGAATACAGTTGAGGATAATTTTGGGTCGTAATGTAGGTACTTATAATGTAAAGTACCTATTAGATGAAGTGAGAATAAATTTAAGTCTTCATCTTCTTTTGTCCAAGAAAATGTGTGGACTTTCTTGAGCTTGTCATAGAGTGTTACGTAGATAACATTAAGTATGTTGATAAATCTACTCTAGTAAATGATTGCACCTAAGAAAGATCGAAGTTCTGTTATGTTACTTGGTCTTGGCATCTCTTGAATTGCTTTTAAATGTTCATGTTGCATGTAAACCTTCAGCGTTGACAGTGTGTTTCAAAAAATGTATAGTTTTCTGCAGTCAGATACATGTGTCTTTGAACCAGCATTATACATAAGCGTTCTAGAACCTATTCCAAGCGTTTGAAGTGAAGTTCCTTAGAAGGACTTGATACTAAAATATCATCAAGATAGGCATACATTTCTATTGATGCCTGACAACAGCTGATCCATTGTTGGAAAAGTGACGGAGCAACATTTAGGCCAAATGGTAAACATTTGTATCTATAATGACCATGGTGCATAGCTATAACTAAGTATTTTCTAGAGTCTGGATGAATTTCCAGTTGAAGGTAAGCGTCTCTCAAGTATTTTTCTATACTTGCCACCGTTCAATTTAGATATAACATCCTCCATTTCCAACAGTATTTAGGAAAGTATCACCTGGATTTAAGAAAGTGTCATTTGTATTTTAGAATAAACATTTGTATTTCAGAAAGATCCATGTGTATTTTAGATTTTTCAAATGTATGCGAAATATTCAAAAGTATTTTAGAAGTAAGATTTGTATTACCGATAATTTCAAATGTATTTTAGAAAATCCATATGTATTTTCGATTGAAGCAATTGTATTTTAGTAACCTCATATGAATTTCAAAAACAATCATTTGAATTTAAGAAACGATAAATTGAATTTTAGATTACATGTAGGTATGTATAAATACTCACAGAGATGGACATCTCTTGTCGTATATTTGACATAATAGGGGAATTTTAGAGAAATCAGCCAGTATTTTTCACATGTATAATACATATGCAACTCTATGTATGTATATAAGTAAGATACTCTTATAACAGGAACCTACATAATCTAACCTAATGCCTACAACTACAGAAAAACTATGCTATTGTCCAACTAACATGTCTTCTAAGCCTATCGCGGCGGCATGAAAGGTAGATAAATGTTGAGCTGCACGGACGCAATCGCCTTTATTGGCTGTCGATGAACCTGTTTGACAGTAAAGAGTCTTCCTTCTAGGTAATTGCTGAGGGTAGAAATAGCAACAACAATCCTGAATTCATTAAGCACCTTCTCTTTCAAAACCTTAAGAGTTGTGCTGCAATCTTCTTCCACCGACTACTCAATCAATAGGTTTATTTGTTCTTCTGTAAGAACTTTTGGTTTCTTACCACCTTTTTTATTCATATCTTCACGGCCTGACGAGACCCAGTTGGAAGCAGTTTTAAATTTTATATTTAACGATTTGGCTAACTGCACCCAGTCTTCACCTTTGTTGGCACACACGACAATTCTTTTTCTATCCTGGGCAGAATGCTTTTTGTTGATTCTACGAACCACATTATCCAATCCAGTTATTTCGGCTCTACACATTGAATATAATGATCCTGGTGCATTAAGCCTACCTTCTTCAACACAATGCGCATGGAAGAGATGGTTACAGGGAACCATTCGTAAAACTGATCTCCTGTAACGGAGTTACCAGATTTTTTCCGAAAATGTGTGCGCCTCTGACTTCAGTTTAATTAATTAATTGACTTTAATTCAACTATTTGCTCTAGGTAATTTCGGTCAATCCCGCGGTAATGATTTTACCCGATTATCGTATTTTTAATTATTTGTGTAACTAAAGCCACACAACTTTTTTTTGATTTTAAGAAGAAGCGCGGCTTTCTTGAATTTCTCCGAAATATTATTCATTTCTAAATATATTATTTTACGCGTGACCTCGGTGCGAATAGCAGGTTGGCTGGTCACACGCTCGAGGCTGCATCGGTACCTTTGGACCGATGGTAACGCGCACCATGGTATTTTCTCCCACGAAGCTTGCCCTTCCATCGTCGAGCGTTTTCCTTACAAACGAACGGCTTTGGGTTAAGTCAGTCCGGCCCGAGTCCACCAACTAAGTAGACGCTTCCGACTCCCACGGAATACCGAGGTAGGCCTTCTCTCCGAAATACCGACTGCTACCTGTTTCACCGCTACGCGAGTAAGTTATTTTTCATTAATACTTGGTTGGTAAATTATATTTTTGTTTTTACTGTCACGGTTCACTTGGACGGACAAAGTACGGATAGTTTTCGCTAAGATATTTATTTTTACAAAGTAAAGCTCTATAAATTGTCACGGTTTATGTGTACAGATAGTTTTCTCTAAGACATTTATTTTCACAAAGTTTAAAGTTCTATAGCTATCACGGTTTACGTGTACGCACAGTTTCTCTTCATATATTGGTCCATGTTTTATTGTCACGACATAGTGTAAGGTTCTATAAACTGTCACGGTTCATGTGTACAGATAGTTTTCTCTTAGATATTATTTATGCTGTCACGGTGGCCCTCAACCACAATAATCCTGAGGGTGGCGCCCGAGATAACCGTTAACCTTAGCATGGATACTCGGCTAATACCACAATTGTCTCGAAGATTCATTTTTCTGCAGCTTCACAATTACTTATCTATGCAAAATCACTTTTATTATAAAAACTCTATATAGGTAGTAGAAGACAAAGACCTAATAAAGGGACAGCAAAGGTGAAGTATTATATGACAAAGTTATACTGTATAGTACATAATTATTCTAAACTACAATTGAAACTTTCTTAAATACATATGGTTTGATCTAAAATACAAATGACGGTTTCCTAAGTTAAATTGGTAATTTAAAAATTTATCTGATGCTTTCTTAAATTAAATTAGTTTTTCTAAACTACATTTGAAACATTTCCAAGTTTAAGTGGTTATACCAAAATACAAATGATACTTTCTTAAATACAATTATTTATTCCATTATTCATATGGGAATTTCTTAAATACAAATGGCTATTCTAAAATACTATTTAAGGTTTCCAAAATACTGTTGGAAAAGGTGTAGATATTGGATAATCATATTTGATGACAGGTCGTGATCATTCTGTAGGATCGGTTGCCATGTTGACCGGTTCAAGTACCTCTTTAACAAGGCGATTCATTTCAGCTTTGACATTATCTTGTAAAGCGATCGGAACTGGTCTGAGGTGAAAAGTTTTAGGTTCAATGAATGTTTACAGCAACTCCTTTGATTGTTCTTCTTGGTGCTTGTTTAGTAAACTTTTGAAGTTTTCATCAATGACTGAAACCGTTTGTTCTGTTTTTCTAATTTTGCTTTGATGTTTGCCGTTCAGGCTAGCATTGTCATTATTAGAATTGCTTCTTTGTTGTTGATTCAATGTTGTATTTTCTTTTATGTTCAAAACTCTTGCTCTTGGATGTAGAAAAACTTTGAAAGCTAGACACCAGGTAAGTTCAAGAAGTGGAATGTCATCGTTGTCAATAACATATAGTGGTAATTTCTGATGTTGGTTGAAGGTTGAGACCGTTACCTCATAATATCCAAGAGTTTTCATTACGATTTCAATGTAACCGTGAAAATTTTCCGTTTGAGTCAATTTAGACTTTCCAAATGGATTGTATCGTACAGCATTTCAAGTTCATCATTATTTATGTTAATATCAAGTACTTTTGTATCTTTGTTGATTGTTCGAACATTGTTGGTATCCCCAGAAAAATAGCTTACATAATTTTCATTATCATGATCTTTTTGTTGCGGATTACTTCTAACGTAACGAGTCTTGCGTTCGTTTGAAGTTTGTATTTCTGCTTCACCCTTTGTAATGCAAACTCTAGCTAAATGGTTCATGAAATTACAGAGTGAACATAGTTCTTAGGTTTTAGGGTTGAGTGTGATTTTTGTATGATTTTTAAATTTTTGATTTCTGTTAGACTGATGCTGTTGCTTGAACTTCGTCTAATGCTGAGGTATTATTAGCAAATTGCTTGATAAGTTCTCGTTGCCATGTTGTATTTTGGATGTGAGTGTGGTGTCATACATAGCGTTTTCACCGCTGCGGCAAGAACGCTCTGGTTTGCCGGGATGGTGTGAGCCCATTGTATTAAATGACAGCATAGCGTTGTACTATGCACTCAACCGGATGTAACCGCATCATGCTGCGGCAGCACCGCACGACCGGATGACTGCAATAGAACGATAAAACGTGCAGTTGTATGTTTGTAGTCACACCTGACGGTTCGAACGCAGCGGTTCTTCAGCAATTTTTGAGTTCGTGGTTTGTTGTTTCATCCAATTTCATTATGTTTGACGTGTATTTATTCATTGAGTGACTTCACGGTAGACAAGCATCATGGGAGAAAAGGTCGAAGGAATACACAGTCGTACATTCGAATTTTGTCGTAGAACTTTGCAAACCTGTTACTCGACTCTCGTTCCAAATTGAAAGGGTGAATCCAATATTAACGATCCACCACCTTTCCTAATAAAACCTTCGCTTCTAGAGCACACAAAATCATTGATGAATTCGCCATGATACTAATACTACCAAAATTTGACTGGCGAAACATCCTGTTGAAACGGATTCCGATGGGATAGTGGGACAAGTAGACTCCATCCGGTCAAAACGCATTCCTTCTTGCCGCAGCGTTAAAAACGCATAGTGTGACACCACACTAACTGATATCGCGCAGACGTTTTTATAAGGAACAACCAAATTCGCAATTTCCTGCTGACGTTCTTAATGATGCCATATATTGTGTGATTGTTTCTCCTTCCATTCAAAATCTGGTTGTGAAAGAAGCACGTTCTGATAAAACATAAATTGTTTTACCATAAAAGTTGTCTAAACCTTTGATTAATTCCTCGTAGGACTTTATTAGGCTAAAAATATTCAAAAAGCATCTTAAAAGTGTCTGATCCTACCTTGTTAATAAGCTAAGAAAGATATTTTTCCTTTTCAGTTTAGAGTCTGAATCGGTTTTTGACAGATCAATATCATGGAACTGTAGTTCCATGGTTCCATTTCAAAACGTTGCTTGTGGTAGTTCCATTCTTCTCTTTCAGGATCAATTTTTTCAAGTTGAAAATGTCGTAGATATTCAGTGCTCATGTTTGTCAATATTTGTTGATATTTTTGTTTGTTTTATCTATTCGTTAATTCTTTCTTTCCTCGACGCCAATTATAGTATAGACGAGTAAGATGCTATATTGTTCAAATAGCGTTTATTTAGCAAGGCAAATACAAAAATGAAAAACTTCAAACTTGATAACTATATCTGATAACCCAATGTCAAGGATCTGGTATTGATATCGAAACAATAGTGGAAGGGCACTGCAATGATAATACCTACTACAGGAGTACACATTTGAAATCTCTCGAAATATGAGAGTGGAAACTCAGAGTCGACATAAATCTCATGAAATTGTATAAAAAAATTACTGATCGATGCCTTGATCATTATCAGTCATTATAAGGTAGAAAAACTCATACTCACTTTAGCACATTGTTGGCATTTGCCCTTTTCGGACCTACGATGAACCCAATGATGTTGAACGGTGGTCTGTTCACGATACTGACGAACGCCGACGTCCCTAAAGCTCGGTTTACACGTGAACCGTAGCCGGTCCATCAAAATGTTGACGCACTCTTCGTGACAGACGATATTGCACGCCGAACATTTTAATCTGCCACCACGTTTCTGCAAAAAAAAAAATGTAATATAGAATTTAGAATGTAAAGCTTAATTTTTTTTACGCCTCACTAATTTTTATGCGTCTGGCTTGATGTCCCACTTAGCGTCTATTGTAATGCAAAATATCTTACGACCCGAACGAAATTTTTCAACAAAAGAATAAATTTTCATCGGTTTTATGCCGTGCCGCTGGTGGTGACTAATTTATATTTTAATGAAGTCTGTCAAAGAAAATTGGGGACTTCGGTCGTTTTGTTCGGCCGAAGTCAATAGTTTTTTGAATTTGGTTCATTACGAAAATGAAAGTCAAAAATTCCAGTTTTATCATGTAAAAATTGATATCTACATAGGTAAATAGTCGAAAACACCCTTCCCTATTTAAATAAGCGAATTCAACCATCAAAAGGGCCATTTTTTCAATAAACCCCTCGACATTTCATTCATGTATTTGCCAAATAGCTGGGAATCCACCCTTTATATTGCCCCGCAGGGGTTTAATATCGGTCACCAATATCTAGCCTCCTGAATATTACTTTCTGTGTAGGTAAATCCCATGGATATGTCTGGAATCCGTGTTCGAAAAGGGGACAAAAATCTTTGAGGGAAATTTTAATTTTGGAAACTCAAAAATTCTCTGTATTTTCTCGTGTGTATTTTAAAGTAATTGAAAGCGCCACGGAATCAGAAAATTTCAATCGATTTCAGACAGATGAACTGCTATACTACTACTACTTCTAGACTTCGATATTGCTTTTCGTCTGAGAGGAAAAGCCCCGAGTTCAATCCCTTCTTATATCTGAATTTATAAGTATAGGAAAAAACGGATTTGAATAAAAATCGTACAGGCGTAATATTAATAATGCTTGATAAACTTTCATCTTTATTTACAATATTAATAATTTATGATTAGAAATTTATAAAATCCTTCATCAGGCTTTTCTAAAAGCAGAAATTGATTGAGCAATCACATTTTAATCAGGGTTTTGAAAAGGGCCGTTCTCCTATACCCAAAATATGATTGCCTGAAGGCATTCAATAACAAAGCTCTTGGATAATTACAAAAGCACTGCAAATAATAATGATTTTTACGGATAAAAGAGCATTTTTCATTGTGTATCAAATTTCAATGGTTAAACGAAATAATTTACATGAGACTACGTTTGTCACAAAGAAAATAGCACGGATTCTGCCTAAATCCAATCCCTCGCGATGTCATTGCCAAAGCCATTCCGGATGGATATCGCTGAGCCTTTGTATATTTTATCCTTAAAGCCGTATGCTCTAGTTTTTATCAACCATTGACTGGAAAAGTATTTTCGTGTGAATTGTAAAATTGTAAAATAAAACGAGCCTCGAGCAGTTAATCCATCGTTCCGATTGCCGGCGCCGCGAAGCAATAAACTCTTTATTGTTTGACGCCAGAAAACAATGACAAACGACGAAACGTTGCGGCGTAGCACTTTGAAAAATTACGCAATTTCATTTCGATGCCGGTTTAATCCGAAAAATATAATTTACATTGAGTAACATGAGCCGGAAATTTGATAAATGGAAGCCCGGTGAAAAAATTGTCCATGAAACAAACTTGAATGAAGAAGAGTCTAGTTCATAGCACCAGCAATTTAAAATTCAATTTCAGATACTTTTAGATAGGTACTCAATATTTCCATAATTTAAGTGGTTATTATTATGAGATGTTTAATAAACTATTGCTGTAATTCAATTTATCCAAAGCTAAATTCTAAGCCTTATTCCCAGTAGATTATTCATTACTAAATCGAATTCAGCAAATTTGGTTCTTTGATATAAATTTCCAGTTCTCAGAAATGTCAGGAGCAGAAATCGAGCATAAAGTTCTCTTGAATTCGATTCAAAATGAAAGCTAGTTATTGAGAGCCCTATTAAGTTGAACTATTTTGCCAATAAGATCTATTAATCATTGAATGAGCTATTCGAGAATTTCAAAAATCGTTTTCAGCTTTCAATATTGGATTTCTTTTTTTTGTTGTAATTAATTTGAACTACTATTGATTGATCGATTCGCCTTTACAGGCAGCACGTATGTGGTTCATCTCCCTCTTTGTGCTGCCGTGTCTTACCTTAGGAGCCTGCAACTTCTAACAAAAGTGCAAACCCGCTCAGCTAGGGAATTCTGTAATTGAAGAAGTATGGACAAATCTGCAAAAGCTTTAGGATGAAAGTGATTCTATGCGCAAAATTGGCCTTATGCGAACGCTGATATCAGCCAGGCTGGAAAACCACAATAGCACGGAACCCTACATCAATCATATTGTTGAAACGTCGCAGAAAGTAGGTTGCACTGGTTTCAAAATTGACAAAGAGTGGGTGGGGTCGCTGCTGTTAGCAGGTCTCTCTAAAAAGTACGCACCGATGATCATAACGGTGGAGCACTCAGGTCAAAACATAACTACTGATTTAATAAAAACCAGGTTGCTTGACATGCAGATTGATGGCGGAAGTAGTGGCGAAAATGGTGCTTTTGCCGCGTATAAAAATTCAAGGGCAACTTTTCGGAAACCATCTAGAAATGGCGCTAGTAGGCCGAATTTCATCAAAGAGAAATCAGCTGGTTCTGCTGGTGGTGGCCATTATGATGGGGGTCAATCAAGTTCAAGCAACGCTTGTTATGACAGTAAAAATGCGAAGGACCTCAGAACTCTTGTATGTTACAAATGCAAAAAGAATGGACATTATATGTCAAAATGTCCCAACAGCAGTAAACCTGAAAAAGGATTCAGTGCTGTTTTTACTACTGGAGATTTTAATGATACTGACTGGTATGTTGATAGTGGTGCAGGGGCGCATTTGACAGTTAGGAAATGTCGGGCAATAAGCTTTTCTTAGCTTCGACTTCTTTTTGCTTTCTAAATTCTTCGAGTTCAGCAAAAAGTGAGCATAGAAAATCAAGCTCCGCTGCGTCGGGCGGATTTAGGCTTGTTGCGGCGAGCGGGATTTCAGGCTCGTTAAAATCGGATTCTGATACGGCCGCAGGAATGGGGCCTTGACTTAGAATCATGTCCAACTCGTCTAGAGTGGCGCCGTATAGGTCTGGACGTCATTTTTGTCGATTGTCTGAAGTAGGTTTGGGATGCCAGTTGTTTTTGGGGTGAAACAACAACCGTTTTTGTTTCCCACGGGTGTTTGTACAACTTCTCAGTTGTACTGAGAGGAGGTTCCGCCAAAACCACCCCGCTGGTTCTTTAGGGAATAAGCTTGCGAACCAGCAGCCTCCAGAAAAAAGGAAGTGAGAATTGACGTTTTTTGTATGATATAGGAGCAGGGCTCCAACTCGGTTTTTTGAAGTCCGAGGGGCTAAAGTTGTATTAACACGGTGTCTAGAAACTTTTGTTTGCAACGACAGTACGTTGAACTCAGATGGCACTCTGAGGAAACCGTCGAGCGGCTTCGAGAAGTTAAGTGACAAATAAAAACACGGAGGAACAGAAACACCAGGTCCGAAAACCAGTCTAACCTTTGAAGGTTCGTGTGTTTTTGTCAAAGTCTCGTCTGTACTGTAGGGAAAAAGAGGTTCTTCCCAAAAACCCTCCATAAAATTCAAGCTAGAGGTAGTTTCGACTTTTGTCTTCTTATAAAACTCTGTCCCAACTCGCTTTAAGTTAAATTGAAATTGAGATTTTTCCTAAAAAAGCCTCAGGAAAAAGTCAAGCTTGGATAATTTAGACTTTTTAGTCTTCTTGCAAATTCTGTCCCAACTTGGTGAGCTTTTGGAGGAAGAAAATGATTATTTGATTTTTGAGTTTCAATTCGACGTGGAGGTTGCAGAAGAGAAGAGAATTTTCATAAAAACTCACGAAAATCGTCGAGGACGGACACGGGGGGTCGGAAACCTTTGAAGAAGGTATCCAAAAATAAAGGTGACAAACGCGGAGGAGGAGTCTAGATTCCCTAGATGAAAAGCTGCACGAATGTGCCGAATTGGAAACGCGGGGCTCAATTAAGAACCAGAAATCAAACGATTTTTTCTTTTTCTTCCAGACAGTTGCCCTGAACAGGCCTTTGTCGGGGATTGGTGGTAAGCTAATGCGAAGTACTCCCCCAGGACATCAACCTCCAGTGCGAGGATTAATGCGGGTTTCCTTGCGACGAACTGGGCTTTTCCGGAAGCCTTATTTCGCACCCGAGGGGTTGTAACGTTAACTCTCTCGCTATCTTCGTACCTATGAGGTAGCTCGCACCAACATCGCTCTGAAAGGTTCGTCTACCGGCAACAAAAAGTGATCCCTAAGGCAAGGTGAGCCACAGCAAAGCGTTGCCAGCCTAATACGCGCTCCTAAGTGCCGGGTACATGTCACAGCACTTCTGTCGAACAAATGAGAGGAGAGCTGTTCTTGTCTCTGGCGCAGAGAACGGAGCAGACAAGCGAGATGACTCTCAATCACTGCCTGAAGAGAACTGACTGACTCTGGCCTGAAAACGGCTATTTTTATACGTTTTGGCGCTACCCTTCACAAGCTCCGCCCACAACTAAAAACAGCCAATCCCATGCAACGCAACAGAAACAATGGTTGAAAAACCAAAGGAATCCTGATTTTCCTGAGATTATAGTTGCAAACAAATCCTAAATTACTGTGGAATGTGCTGGTGATGTTGAAATAACAGACAAGCAGCACAATATATTGTTGAAAGGAGTCCAATATGTTCCAGGTTTGATAACAAATCTATTATCTGTTTGTCGATTGATAAGTCATGGAAATAGGGTATGTTTCCATGAAAGTGGTTGTGATATTTTCAATTCAGAAAATGTTTTCGTGGTAACTGCTGGTCCCAACAACAACGTTTACAAATTGGACGTTTACAAAGACCAATCGGTATGTTTTCAGGCAGTGAGCAGTGTTTGGTATCAACGTTCAAGCCACATTAATGATAGCTACCTAAATGAGACAGCCAAGCTGGTAGATGGTCTTATGATGTGTAAAGGTGGGGCTACGATTGGAAATTGTGAAATGTGTTGTAAAGAAAAGCAA